CAACTAATAAACTAAACTAAACAACACGAACAGAAAGCAGAGGATATTGCATTAAGATCAATAACTAATCGAATATATGTATTATCTATCTTTCTCTCTTCTGTCTATCTTTCGTATCTTCTATATATAATATTTCTATTTATCAACAGTAAAATTATTATTCTCTCTTTCGAAACAAAATTGCAAAAATATTGCAGTGTAAAAATCGACTTTGTATCAGCGAAAAGTCTAACATCCTTTAAATAATTAAATAATAAATAATTAAATAAAATAATATAAATTAAGTTTATCTAAAAACATTGCTTCAAACCTGCAGTTAAACGTGCAGTGCTTCAATAACGTGAAAACTTTTTAATTTCTCTATTATCATGTAATTTTACATACGTAATATGCATATAAATTGAAAAATTGATAATCGCAAGTATGTAGGTAATTGCAATGCTCATCGCCTTGTTTAAATCCAGTCATTTGAAGATAAATGAAAATAACAACTACACACCCACTTGGAGGAACACCTACAAGCATGTCTAATTTAATATGTAGAGGAACTACTGAACTCTTTTACCCCTACTACGACATTATTGTAAATGGTTTTACCAATTGCTTAAATTTAAAAAATTGATTACTTACTTAATATGGGAGTGTTCACTTTCTCTTCTTAAAATTCCAAATTCGAGTCACATACTACAAGCATGATGAACTATAAAATTTTATTCAAAAATTGTAACTTTAAAAATATACATTTATTATTTAATTTTACTAAATATTATTGTCACAAAGGAAATATTACAATTTCGAACATATAAATTAAAGAATTATTTTTTAATACCTGCAATATTCAAATCTATTTAAACCGAAATCGTATTTGAAACACTTCTGAAACTAACAGAAAATCATGTTTTTGGTAGTGCAATTATGCCATATAAATGCAACAATACCATGTAAGAAATAAAACCAATCAATTTTAAGCTTGATTAGAAAAGCTATAGCATAACATTAGCTTTGACGAATTTAACCAGTTTTTCCTCAATACAATATCAAAGCGGTGATAGTTGAGTGGCCTTACTCGATACTTTATTTTCATATTATGTATGTTAGTTATGCCGCTATTGATCACAAATCTGTTGCTAGTGCCAAACCGCTAATATGGCCGTAAAACAGTAAAAGTTAAGTAGCGAGGCGCAAATTTGCAATTGAATTGTTCTAAATGGCTAGCTTAATTCGTCGGTTCCAAATATCCCTGAATGGTAATTTATTTTCGGTGTAAAACTAAAACTTGTTCTCCTATTCTCTTATTAGATTTCTAAAATAACTATGAAGTGTTTGTAGTAACACAGAACATATTTACTTCGATGCGATCTTACCTCACTGTTAAGACCATTTTGAAAAAGCATTTATTGAACTTGATATTTGTACAAAAGCATTGAAGATTGCTCAAGATTATCTGGTTTAGTAACTTTAATTTTTGCGACTTTCGATAGCACGTTTCGAGAACTATCTATCTCCAATAACGATGGATGAGAAGTATCTAACCTCTAAAGGAATAAAACCAAATCTCAATTTTTTGCGAAATTTAAGAATTCTTAACAGTTCACATTAAAGAAAAAGTCTGACGGATCCTAAAAATTGGTTGAATAAGACGCTGCAGAAGCGGGGCTCGAGCTTCAAAAATTGATTAATTATTGTACATTTTCAGTTATATCGCGGAAACAATTGATAGTCTGAAAAATAATTTAACATTTTCAATAGCACGTTTCAGCGGATATCATCTACTATTCCAGCTTTTATAGAAAAATTTAACCTCTAATGAGATGCAAGTCAAATTGTGTTAAAGAATCATATAATTGACGCAGAAAATTGTTTGCGCCTCGAGCTGAGTGAAATTCAGTGAGAGCGCAAAGACCAGTTGGACGAATAGAAACCGACGATTCTCACTTTGAACAGTTTTTGTAGTTTCCTATTATCGTTTTGTTGTCATTAATTAAATAACTTTCGTGATACATTTTCTTATTTTATTTTTTATTTTTTTGAGGCAAAAGTTTCAAATTTTTTTTTTCAGTTCGATCCCTACAACACCTACTACGGAACACCCTCTACATATTATATATCATATATAGAGGGTGTTTTCTCATAAGTTGACACCCCCCTTAGATTGTTTATTTTAAGAAAATTGTGAAAGTGACCAACACAAAATCTGTTTAATTCTACTCATTTTTTTTTAATGTGATTTTAAAATAAAAATATATAAACAAAAACATTTAAATAGTAACAAACTAAAGCTTAGTCTATTTATATTTTGTCTTAAGTGTCTATGAAGTTTTTGATTTAACATGAGCCCTAGATCGTGCAAATCGGACCCAGAGCAGAAAAGTTATCGGTGCAACACCAAAAAGTTAAGTTTTTGAGACTACCCTGTACACAAAAGAGATGTCCTAAAAATGCAAAAACTGCTTTGAGCTATTTGATATATCTTTAAACTTTTGGTGTTGAGATCCGAAAACCGTTTATTGTCCAACTCAGAGCATGCCGAACTTTCCAAAATTTGGCATTTTTTCAAGTGCCATCCTGTAGAAAATTTATCTGTCTGAGATGCTGAATGTTTTGGTATTTTATATTTATAATTTGAAGTTCGTATCCAGCTTCGAAGCTAAGGCGAATTTGGATGTGAAGCGTTCATTTTGTTAAGCAGTTTAAATTGTTTAGACAGATGATCATTCACTCAACTTTACAATGTGTACAGCTTTTGGTAGAAATTAAAGTTTGATGACTGAAGCCCGAAAATGATATAAATCATCTAAACCTACAAACAAACAGAAAAGATATGTTCGAATTGGGTACATCTTTATGTTCTACTAATGGGTTTTTTGCACGCTTTCGTTTTCATTTGCAAACGACATAAAAACCTTACTTTTAAATACTTTGAAATTGGGAAACATTTCACAATCCGAGAACGATCGGCAAGTGCTCGTAAATGGTTTTTACTTCTTTATAACGTAGCGTACTGTTCCGGATTAGCATTTTATGTGCACAATTCGTCCAGTTTCCTCAGCAGCGATAAGTTTGACGAGTTTGTCACCGGTTAGTTAGCTATCAATAATATTTCTATTACATTTTCTTAGTAAACACTGCAGGTTTACTCTTGACTCACTGCAGATTATCAAATTACTTAAGAGTTCAAACATGCATGTGGGCCGACTTTAATTGGCATATCAAAAAAATTCGGTCAAATCCCAAAACGATTTCAGAACAATTTCGCACTAGAAACTGGGGCACGAGAGTTTCAAAATCCTCCCAGAGAGAAGTAACAATCGGGAGCAAAACCATACATAAACATAAGCTAATCAGTAGAAAGATTAGTGTTCGATCTCATAAATTACACTACAATATATGAATGGGAGCATAAATTATTCAAATTTGCAATTATGCAAAGCAACTACTAGTTTGGCAAAAGAACAGCTTCTATTGTTGTGGGTGAAATTACTACAACTTATGGTTGAAGAAATAAATACTCATTTGCTAACAGCCAAGTCCAAGCGGAAGAATTGAAGTTAATACTTATGTTTTGACAACATTTTCACATTAAATTATTCGACAAAGCACAAGCTGCGTAAAAACAAAGTCAAACGATCACAAATCCGACAAATTGGCCGGTCACTTTCTCATTCTATCTTGGCAAGAGCGAAACTTTCTTCTCTGCGATAACGTATGCCCGATCCATCTTTTACCTTGCGACATACAGGGTGATCCACAAATACTAATGGGCGTTGCATCAGTTTCGTTTTTGGTAAAACGCGTCCATTGGTATGGTATGGTGCGGTCGTGTGCGTGACACTATTCGAAAGCGAATCTGGTTTGGAAGTTTGGCGTGCGAGGCGATTTTGGCTTGAACTGCGTGCAATGGGTTTAGTTAATTGGCATTGGAGTAATAAATTAAATTAGAAGTGCAATAGAAGAATACCAAATGCAGGCCATAAATAATATTGATTAGAAGAATGAATCGAACTCAACAAATGTATACTGATTAAGCTGGTTTTTGGGTGCTGGGCATCAAACTAAGTGGTCAGAGTTCAGCGGAGAAAAAATTTAAACAACAGGAAGTATATTTTTTGGAGTCACTAATGATGAACAATGAAATACATTCAACGAGGCAAATTGCATATCCAATGTTCTAGCTGCAATTAAAAACGACAAAATATATCTAAATCATTAATTTTAACTAATGATCGAAGCAAACGAGGTTTTGCTCCCGGGGGCATATTGGGTAAAGATTGTTTGTGAATGGTAAAAGCTTTTACTACTCAGCTGACCCATAAAACAAGATATTTTCACAATTTTTATTAAAATTCAAAATGATATACTAGTTGCCGAAAAGTTTTTACATAACGAATTTGGCAACTTCATTGTTGCAAATATAATTGCTTCATCGGTTTTTTTCCCAGAGATGAAATCGATAATTCAACTGATCAGCTTAATTGGACAAAGTAACGAAAAAAAATTCATGAAATCTCGGAAAGTAGAAAATATTTAACAAGCATACGTCGAAACGTGTGCAATTTAATGCGAATTCTTCATGGGTAGTGAAGTTACCACCATACAGTCCAGAAGCCATACAGATATTGAAAATTGCATCTTTCGAAAAGTATCATGTAAACTGGATATTTAACGTAGGTAGTTTGGCAACCAACGTGAGTATAAGAAAGTCTTTCATTCCACGCAAAATAGTTATATGGACTAAGAAGCAGAAGAACCGATTAACTTAGTCAAATCTTTAACTTTGATGACGTATACTTACGCCATATAGTTCAGAAATAAATATTTTATTAGAGCAAGAAACAAAAAATATCACTCTCGTTTAAACCTAAACAAGAGATTATACATTGATGGCGGCGCTAATATTTCAACTCCTCAACACATATCCAAAACTTTTATATACGTTTTCACAAGTTTTCCATTCAATACTTAGATAGACAGCAATAAAGTTATAAAAAAATCAAACTTACCACTTGTAGAATTCCAACAGCCGTATCTGTGCGCAGGTATCCACACTGAGCCAACCACCGTGATGACACCCCGTCAAAAAAGCACCCTCGTCTGCGCAGTATACCGGGCGACCCGAAAAATAAGCAACCAATTTTTTCGTGAAACCGAACGTTCAAAATGGTTTTGGAACCCATCGTACCAACGCACTGAACTACCCAAAGTTCTTTAGAAAGCACAGTGGTGCTGAGCCCCCTTCTATGAACCTCTCTCTTCTTTTTCGGACGGTCGAGGTGCACCAAGTCTTGGCAACCGGACGGACTGTTCCTCTTTATCTATGTCTTCAAACTCGATGGTATCGAAAGTAAAAATGACAAAAGTAAATGTTTGTTTGTATGCTTGACGCGGATCGACCAAGAATTCGAATGGTTGGGTAATGTCTAGGGGATTTCGATTTCGATTATTGAATAGTAAACTTTTTCGTCGGCACTGGTTTACTGTATTTTGCCCCGCTTTTCACTTTCTGTCTTATACTTTAGATCTAGTTTTATGTTAGAGTTTGGTGTTAATACTATTTGTATGGCAATTCCGTTTAGTATTTGGTACAGTGTAGTGATCACAGCCTTTGATGTCTTTGGAATCTGGAAAAAAAAGCGAAACATTAAAAAATTTTATAATCTAAGAACGAAAGACATAATGAAATACAACAGCATCGTGGTATATGCAAAATAGGCCAAATTTAATTGCGAACAATTAATAAAACATACAATCGACAACTAAAATAAAGAAGACATAATTCACAGTGGTAAAAATGTAAGTCTATGCAGTGTTCGAAAATGGACGAATTTCTTGCAAGAACTACTTTTAGATTTTTTTCGTATATCATATTCCATAAACAAATAACAAGGTTTGGTACCAGATAAAATAATCTACTTTGTCAATAAATTTTAAGAGTCACTATTACTGATTGAACCAGCGGCTGTTTACATGATTTTGTAAAATAATGTTTGTAACAAAAAAGTCAATTGGGCACAACAGTAAATAGATTTTATTTTTTAAAGCCAATAATGTTTAGCTTTTGTGTACAAAGTAGGCGTGAAGCGTACCGCTCGTCACTGCTACACCGATGATAAAAGCAAGATGTTGATCAGAAATATTTATTTAAAACGAAAATTTTCCAAAGCTGCAAACTTATATTGAAGTATCTAATCGATTTTCTTAATAAACATGGTTTTCTCATTTACAATTGTAACACCCGTAGACTGGAAGCAAAGCGTTTTCGTATTTTGTCGTCGAATCCTAACATTTACTATGAAGATGTATCCAACATCACTTGAACTATAAATCCAGCCTGAAATTGATAGACATATCAAACACTCTGTATACTATTATAAACATTCTTCCAAATAATATTAACTCGCTGAGTATAATGAAAGTAAAATTTACGTGCCATCTGCTAACGGCACTTTTAGTAATAATTTCATTGACCAGTTAAGATTCACTGCTGCTGAATTCTGCAAGTATCCGTCCGCAAGTCTTTAATATAACTTAAAGATTGTTAATTTTGCAAATTTTATTTGGTTTCATAAATGGGCATATTGCATTGGTACTTTATCGGAATTTATTGAATATTGTCATAAATACTTTAACTTAATTCTGTGTTTTCTTCAGTTCGTGGTTTAAACGCAAAAACATTTACAAACTAATTAATCAAAAGCCATCAAAAGAGGTAAAAGAAATATATGCAGGGTAAATTGTATGCTAAAATCTGCCATAAAAGCTGATAATTATCTATAAAGGACACTGTTTCTTCTAAAATAAACCAGCATAACGGTGAGAATTTTTTGAAAATTACAGGGCCTATTAAAACCGCTGCTCTAATCACTAACTAAAGAAAAATCGTACTTTGAGTTATAGCAAATGTAGTCGTAAAGCCGCATATTTGCCGCAAAGGTGTTAAAATCAATAAAAAAAATTTGCTGCTTGCTAACTCTGCATATTTTGGATCAATTACAATGCATACAGGTAGTGGGATCTGATGCAAAGGCGCTGAAGTGCATCAAAAAAATGAATAAAGGCATTCTAAGAATAAAATTATTATCCAATTTTATTAAAGTATATTTTATTTCCGAAAGAACAACATAAAAATTAAAAAATGGCTTTTGTGTTATAAGAAATGATTAACAAACTGCAAGTAAATTGCAAACCACGTAAGTAAAGTCAACGAGTACCGCGTGATTGAGTAATAAAATAATATCGGTTGTTTGTCAAAATCGAATTTTTACGCGACTTTGTAAGCGAATAATACAGCGTATATGAGAAATTCTGTTTTGTGTATTACTGCTAATTATTAGCTGTGTAGTGGAGTGATGATCAATTTAATTAATTGCAAGATATTTTTCCAAACATTTATGAGAAGAAGAGATATAATTAAAAAGAAACTGTAAATTACTTAGAAATCTGGTGTAAGTAAATGAAAAAGTTGTACAAATAAATTTAATGGAATAATTTATTTCAAACATTAGATTTGTTTGTAGATGCAACAAAAATGAGCTATATGTCGTTTTTCCTGTTTAATTACTGGTGGCAATAAAGCAATGATGTACCTAATGATTGTTGGATAAATATATACCGACATAACGAAAATATATCGAAGAATAGATATGATTCACCAAAAAATATCAATTGCATTAAAATTTGTGGAGTTTTTCAATTGATTCTTCGGAATATCAGAGCAATACTTATTAATTATAAATTAATAATTCCTCATTTTTAGCGATGATGGCGGCCGAAACAACAATTGCAGCTGCAAAATCTCAGATGGTAGTTTACGATAATGAGCCAATTAAACTTTTTTTAACTACTTAATTCCTGAAAGATGTTATACAGAATCACTAGTAAAGCAATATTAACCATAGATAATTTAATTAAAAATGTATTTAACAGACTGATTGTACAAAGTTTTCATGATGCAGTGGTGACAGAAGAAATAATTTCTAGTTAATTGCGGCAAAGAAAAATCGACGCTATTCGAGTAAAAGACGCAATCATTAATTTTGAACTCAATCTAGTTCAAGTTTGAAATAAAGTGTGTGTGATACTATTATAAATTGTGTAAAAGCTCAATTTCATTTTAAGGAGTTTCTATTGGTCGTATAATTTTGGCCTGAAAACTTTGGATTTCGGTAAATTTCCTAAAGATAAACTGACGTATGCTTCTTTTATCCCACACTCAATAAAGAACCATTACGAACAGAAATATCTGTTATTTATTCAAGAAATGATTACAGGACTTTTTCATTGATAAAATGTGCACTGTCCTTTTCAAAATTTGTAGTGCCAAACAATCTAGGAGAGACTATGAAGGAGACTAAAGAATTGTGGTAAATAATTGTAACAACTCACATGACAACCTGAGAGGGCGAACAATGTTTTTCAATCTTACCCTGAGAATGGTTAAATAGCTTTTTCTCTATCTATTGATAAAAGTTTATCTCAGAGTTGAACAATTTTAATAACAAATTGATTAGAAAATTCGCAAACGGAAAAGTTCCAAAACTAAACTTGTTTAAAATGGGTAAACATGTTATGTAAAAATTCCGGAACTGATTTATTTTTTGATAAAGCCGCCACTGTCCCCAGATAAAAAGGTCTCATTTGAGTTGCTTTTCTAAAAATTTAACCAGTTTCCATGTGAGAACACCTCTGAAAATAATGTATCCATTGCGGTTGATCCAATGACTTATACATTTTTGAACACATTATACATATATCGAAAACGCTTAGTTTAACACCCCTTGATAGCCCTTGCAATTTTATGGGTATATTTATGAAGCACTGGGGATACACCTGATATTTCATAATTTTCTAACATACACTTTTACAGTATTTTCAAAAAGGTGCAATCGAAATGTATAAATTAATTTCATATGCAAATTGGGATTTTCTCTTTCGGCTTGAACCCAATTTTCACGAACAGCTCGAGTAATATTTTTATATTACTTTGTAATAAGGAATTCGTTCTTCATATGAAAATACAACCCGCTTTCAGTTCATAACGAAGAACGTGAGGATTTTTTAACCACGTCAAATTTTGAGACAAAATACCTACATAAATAAAATCTTATTGCTGTTATCATTTGTATTAGCAGTGATGACAGAAGAAATCGTTTCTAATTAACTATAGCAAAGAAACATCGACACCACTCAAGTAAAAGACGCTATTGCCTGTTTTGAACGATATATCATTCGAGTGCGAAATAATATTGATAACATCATTATTGAAACATCAGAACCAGCCAACAGTCACCAGAATGTAATCGCTATTGTCATTACATTTTAAAGACCTTCTAGTATTTGCATGACTTTTTCCGGTATACTTTAGATAATATTGAGGTAAAATTCCTAAGGATAGACGCACTTCAGCACTTCAGTTATTACACACTTGGTATTATGTATTTTATTCCACACTTGATACGATGATTCTCAACCCAAAAACGTCGTGCAACGTTTCTCAGACAATCAACAATGCGAATTTCAAAGATCGTTTAACAGATTTCTTTCTATCTATTGATAAAAGTTTATCTCCGAGACAGACAATTTTAATCACAAATTGAGTACAAAAATGGGTAAACATTTTATATAAAAATTAAAATTAAAAATAAAACAACTGAATTTTTTGGCTAAAGCGGCCACTGTTCTCATGTAAAAAGAAAGTTGTTTTTTGGTTGCGTTCTCGAAAAAGTGCCAAAATTGCAAGAAAACTACCGAGATCTTTTTTAAGCACTTAACTTATCAATCAATCAGTTGATCCAAATGTTAAGTTAAGATTGGTTAACAACAAATTGTATATTTTTTATTAAAATCGGCTAGTGCGATTCTAACATATATTTTTTAATAGACCCTTTACCACATTTTTCAACACATTATACAGGGTATTCAGGGTGTCCCATCGGAAACCACCGCGATCGATATATGGCAAACTATAACAAGGAGAAATTTGAAATTTGGACATATTTTCAAGATGGTCAATCTTCCGGTTATATCGGAAGTAGGTATCAACTTGCATATTTTAAATGGAACACCCAAACAGTTTTGAATTAATTATGGCCCAAATTCTAAATATATTTCATGGATAATATCTTATACCTAATATTTATGTTAAAAGTTACAAGTTGCTGGCATGAGAATATTTTTTTTCTATGAGGAAATGTGCTATTTAATTTGAAACGACTTACATGTGTGACGTGTGTAAATTAATTTCATTCACAAATTGGAATTTTTCCTATCGACTTGGACCAAATTTTCCCGTAATATTTTTGCATTACGTTTTAAAAAGGAATTCGTTCGTCAAATAAAAATAGCACCCACTTTTAATTCATAACAAAGAACGTTAGAATTTTTTTTCCGACCAGTCCAAATTTTGAAAGAAATACTTACCTAAGTAAATAAAATATGATTGTTATTATGATTTGCAAAGTAAATTTGAAGATTAAGTCCATGTGAGTGAGAACGCTCTGTAGACGCAGTGAATATTCAAAGACCACGTGCGCTTTGAGGTATTATCTTATCACAAAAAGTTCACATTACCTGCTGCAAGTACAATAATTTAAGTAAATTTCCCGGTTAAATTAATGTATTTTCATTAATTAAATAGTGAATAATTCAATAGTTAGATCAAAAGAACTGAACAGCAATAATAAAAATTATTACACATTAGATAAAGCACAATTTATAATAAAAAATTTTTAAAGTTCTAATAGACTGCGTCACATAAATGGTTGATTATTTTTATTTTTCAAGTCAGGCCATTTGAATAGTAATTAAAAAAATAAAAACTAGAAATTTAATTTCACTATCTTAAAAAAACCGCCTTCAACGGGTTAAAATCCCTATTCCCCCTCCGAAAAGTTCAATAATACCGCTTTCTTATGAGATAGCAGCTCAATGGTGGTGCAGAATATTATTGACTGACAAGCGTTCTGTTAAAATGTCTCTAAGTACCTTGATTTATCGTGTCAACAGTGCTCTTCGGGGCCTAGAGAGAGCATTATTTGGAGCCCTAACTGGTCAATTCCCTTCAGGTAACGTAACAAATTACATAAGTTATTGGAAGCACATTTGACACTGAGATAACCTAACTTTTCCTTAGGCGATTTGGGGTTATGTTATGATTATGTGCCCCAAAAGAATGAAATCCAACAATCAACGGCTCAGAAGAGCATCTTGGAAGAAATTCTTGGTGATGGATTTTTATTTGCTGTGCCCAAACACAGGCGAAGTATAGAAAAACGTCTCAAACGGAAGTTTGGCGATTCTGAACATCATCTGAAAATATTGATTCCCAGGAAGAATCTTAGAACTTGCAATGTTTGCGGCGACGACTACGAAGTTGGAGTTTTATGCCGTAAGGTCTTAATTAAATTTCATCAGCTCTATTCTATTTAACTGTGCATTTCAGCTACGTGTTACAAGACAGTTATAGAAGAGACCAAACAGATGCAAGATGCCATTCAGCAGGAATTGAAATTGGAACCCGTCGAACAAGAGGTGGTAGTTATGTATGATGGCGAAAAGGAGAGTAAACCTGAGGAATTCTGGCAAGGAAAACGGATTGTGGAAATGCAGAAACCAAGACCACAGTGGTTTACAGATAATCTGCTTCAGAAAACTACTCAGAAAGGTGCAGACACAAGCGATGTGAAACCTTCAGAACTAGCTTAGGCTAGTGTAGTATTGCAGTGTAGTTAGTTTTTTCAATAATTAAATAATTAACATTTTCTGACGGTTTTCATTTCCTGGCTGATATAGGTTAAGTGCGCAAACTATCAACCTGATGTAAATATTTCGTGATTTGTAAATATATTTTTTAGTAAGAAGTTCGTGCAGACCGATTATACTGATTCTAGCTTACTTTTACTTTTAAATAGGCAGTTCGTAATCCTGTTATAATTAGGGATTAGAAAGTTACTGGAGGCAAGGAAGTTGATTTTTTATAACCTAACCCAACCTTTTTGCGCGAGTAAACAAAAAACAACATTTTAAAATGTGGAAAGTGTTTAGTTACGAGGGAAAATTATTTATGTTAAGTGTTACGAAGACTGATGGGGGCTGCGATATAATATTAAGCGATCTTGTCTTTATCTGGAAAAATCATATTTCCACTTCAGATTTACTTGCAGAATACCAGGTATAATTTTTTAATTTGAACTATCATAGTTTGTTCTTTTGTAAATGTTAACCTCTGGTTACGACGATATTGTTACTTATATATATATATAAATAATCTTTATTTCCTACAGAAAAAGGCTATCGACCCAATCGGTCTTTCTGCCCTGTTACTTATATTTAACTTAGTTCAATGATTTTCATAAATGAATCAGTTTGTTTGTAATGACTTGTATTCTGTAGGTCTTTTTCGAGCCTTCAAAAGAAAATTTGGTCAATTTTTTGTACCATTGATAATTAAAGGGCTACAGAAATTTTCAATACTTGGACTTACTTTGATTTTTCCGTAAATGTTCAGTAAAACATATAAATATGTTTTTCTGATACTGCAAATATCGGTTAAACTGGTGACGCAAAATTGCAAGTATGTATACCTTATATAACCGATTTTCTATGTTTTTTTAGTTTAAAAGATTCTTTCACTATGCCTGGAAAATGTAATATTTTTAAAATGTCTTTGTGCTTTTCTATACTTTATCTATTTGTAGATACGTAAAATAAATAACTTGTATACAAAAGCCATTGTGCAGCTGCCTCGAGCTAGGTGACTAATCTCCTCTATGCCCGAGCGACCAAAAGACATATTGATAAACGATTGACTATTTAATAAACGTTTATATTTTTTAATTATTTTTTATCTGATTTCAAAGTTAAGCAAATTCTTTTACTATTCCTAAGGTTCAAAGTATACGAATAATGATTTTTATTTTATTATAGAAACGTTATAAATTAGTTTTTAACAATCATTTCTACATCCAAATCAGTAAATTCATTTTACATTTGATCAACACTTTTCTTGATCAAATTCACACATTCAAATAGTACACAGAGGTATCCAAAGGCATTCAAATTATCTAACAAAGTCTTCTCATAAAAACCAAGCCTGCCCACTAACAGGTTGTCCAAGCCGGGATAAGTACATTACGTATATACATACCTATAATATAATACATAAGTACTCTGTGTGAATTTCATTTTAACTAAATGTTTTCTTATTTAAGTGGCTGAGTACATTGTATTACTTATGTGTGAAATGATTTAGCACATTAAATTTTATAAAACCATTAAAGAAAACTTCCTAAGACTCTCAAAATTAGTACTACATTCCATCTATTATACTGACTTAATTCTGATACAGCTTTATTCTTTATCTTCTTGTTATATTTATGTGAAAAAATGTCGAACCCAATAAGTGAAACAATGATTTTCTGTAGTAATTCTTCATGCGTTACCACAAGCTTGCATTTTTTACAGCGCAATGGTTGCTCTATAAATTCCGATATAGACATTAGAAACATCCTGCTGGAAACGGTAAACAATTTACAAGAAGTCAATGCTTCTGTGAAGCACATCTTGAGCACAGATGTGGAGTTGATTTTGGAAAAGAGTTCGGTTCAGAAGGATTCAGAACTTGAGCAAAATATTGTAAATAAGTTTACGCTCATAAAACGGGACCAAGAAATAGTGAGTCAGTGGTAGAGGATATATTTTTATATTCTAAATGCCACTTCTATAGATTAAAGTTGTTTGGCTTTTCATTGTTGAAACAGTAAGAAACAACAAATATATACATGCTTACATAGGTATAATTACAAGAGACCATCCTAATAAGCCTTTTTCTGCATGAATTATCACGTATAGCGGTCGTTTATACCAAAACCTGCAATAAGAAGTAGAACGGCTTTGATCACTGTTGGAACTTTTGGTTAAAGCGATTAAACAGCAGATTACTTGAATTATTTTCAGTTTAGAAATACAATAGCTATTCCAATGATTCAAACCTTGAATTACTTAGAACAGCAAAATAAAGTGTTACTAAGTTTGATACAGAAGAAAGACCGAGAACTTGAGGAGTTTAGAATGGAAAAAGGTGATATTTCAAGAGGTAAATATGTCGATGCGAGCGTGTTGCTCCATGTTTCAAGTCGATATATTATTTACTAGACGAATTGAAAACAGAACCGTTTGATCCAAAATCACTAGATGCCAATACCAAGAATTTGTTTTTAACTGTGTTTTCCGACGAAAGCAGCAAAAGCCTTTTGAAGAACCTCGCGGAGACGAATGGGGAAATCCAGGCAAACAAATTAGAGTAAGTGCAGAAAGTGCTCAATTTGTAGAATAATTCTAGATTAACGTTTTCTTTAGAGTCGAAACGCAACCATGGAATAATGTTAAGAGAAAAAAAGTTGTTCGCGATGGTAAAACCGTCGCTAAAAAGGGGGCTGGAATTATTTTTAAGGGCTCCAAGTGATTATAATTATCTTCATTATTCAACTAACTAGTCCTGGAAAGTATTACATTACATTGGCAGGCAAGGACCAAGTGTAAGTTATTTAATACAAAGTTTGTTCACCTATGCTGGCAAATGTAATCAGAAATAGTCATAGCCAGAAAACGGCACATCCGGAATACTTGTCGGAACTGTGAAAATAATTATAAATGCGTTATAGTCGAACCTGTGTCACATAGAAAAATTTAACACACAGTGAGATACGGATGATTTTGTCAAAACCACAGTCAGTACCTTAATAGACACATATTTATGAAAGTATTTTATTAATCCCATTGTTTGTTACTTTATTATATATATTAACAACTTTCTTGTCTTAGTGCTATAAAGAAATTAAAAATAATAATATTACAGAGATGTAATGTAAGTAATGTAGAATAGTCCCTAGTATAGCCTCACTTAGTTGACTTGAATTTTGTAATAGCTAAAGTAATTGAACGACTCTTACAAAGTTTCTAAGAGGATCCGTTGGGCTCCTGCATTTGAAACATAATGGTTTGCAGTTGTTTCTTTGTGTTTTCAATTTCAGCATCCAGCGCCGAAAGTTTTTTGCGTGAACCCACGTTGCTTCTATAACTCTTCATCAGATCAGAAATTTTATACTCAGAAGCTGTAGTGGCAGGTTTGGAAACGTCCTGGACTTCATTTTTGGCTTGGAGTATGAAATCCTGGACACTCTCGCAGTTTTGATGGTAATCTTGAATTCTGCTTAGCATGTTTTCGCTGTAAATTTCCGTGCTCAGTTGCTCGTGCTTTTTAACGAAGTCCCTAGCGACATCCACTTTTTTCTGATTTATTGATTTGGCTTTTTCTTGATAAGTGTGAATACAGGACTGTTTGGTGTCAATTTCTTTCCACGACATGTCATTGTCTTTACACGTGTTTAGGATCGAAGTCAGGCGTCCCATTATCTGCACTTTCTTCTGATTTAACTCCAGGTTGTTTGAATCGCGTTCTTTGCGATGCTTATTGAGAGTTTGCATAGTTTCATGGTATTTGGCACTTAATTCTTTGAGTTCTTCGCTTCTTTCGGTAATCGATGCTTCTTGCTTGACATAAACACTCAAAAGCGTTTCGTAATGGGTAACTTCATCCATTTTTCGAGTAGGTTTCCAATTCGTAACCCTCAAGGTGACAGTAAAGTGTGTATTTTGACTTCAATTTGTCACCGTGACATTTTTCTTGCACAAAGTGTAAATCAAGAATTTGATAGAAAACTTATGTCAAAGTGTTATTTTGACACTTTACGAGTTTTCGCTTAATCATTTTAAAGTGCACACTGTATTTTCCAAGTAAGTCTTATTATTGTTTTGCGAAAACCTATAAAGTTTGGATATAATTTTTGGTTGTAAGGGCATATCAAATCGAACTCCTCATGCTGTTCAGTTTATGGGAAAACGAATCATATTACTTAAATAAAATAAATATCAAAATTGCTTGCTGCTTGGTTAAAATTTAGATGGCAGATCACATTTATCTTTGACAATGTTGAATTACCGACTAATTTACGTACGTTTATTTTAACATGGGCCAGTCAAATATCTCTTTTTTTATAGATGACGGAGATTAACTTTTTTATAGATGACGCTGTTAGCGTCAAGTGGGGGACAACTTTAATTTTTTAAATAGATTGGTAATTTTTTTACTATAAAATCCGCTTCAGCATTTAGTTCTCAATGAAAAAGTATTAAGGTACATATGGGCTAAAGTGAACAGAATTCGAAATATTTATAAACCAAAAAAATATAGGTACCAAACGGATATTATCTTAACATCATTTTATGTTCAATATTATTTTGTTTTTTCAATTTAATTTTTCTCAATTTATGTAATTGATACTCTTGATCCAAGAGTATATATACAATTTTTTTGAATACAGTGCATCTCAAATCAAATATTTTCATAACAAAAGATCTACTAAGAATTTATGGATAGTAGATAAAACATATTCAATATCACCAGTCGGCATTTTATCAGCTAAGGAAAGAGTAGGAAAGCAGAGTGGTTTCTTACATTCAGATAAAACTTTCTGGTTATCCAACATTAAAATAGAATAATTTAAAACAAACATCCAAATTAATCAAATCGTTACATGCAAGTTCAGGTACAGATTACAGTAAATGTTACAACAACTCACAACTCTCAGGATGAAAGTTTATTATTAATTTCAGCTACTAAGAACATATCCACATTCAAAAGTCTCTTTTCTAACTGAAGTGGCAGGGAATTTCAGGAAGACAATTTATGTATTTTCTGAACGGATTACAATGGGTTTGCATTAATTTGCCTAACCAAGACAAGTGTTAACTAAGGCTGTAATTATATTGTATGGATCGGCGCAACTACATGGTCGTCGATCTTCGAAGAAACCTTTCTTTTTATCGGCAACGGCCGGAGATATTCGGATACAAGCAGTTCTGTCACCAACTCCAGATTTGAATTTTTCTATGTTACATGTGTGGTGACGACCGGTTAGTCGCTCCTTCAAATGCTTTCCTAAAAATTAACAGTTCATTTTTTCATTATACAGGGTATTTCAGATGAAGTGTACACTAATGTTAAACCCCATATTATTAGAGTTCCGATGTCAGTTAAATTATCAATCTAGAATGTTTTCCGCTTATTAAAATATTGTAAAAAAAATCAGCAAGTCAATTAACTTCATATTATCAGAAAAATGTATAAATGTGTCTTAGATTTGAGACCATTGGATTTTTTCTTCTGAGTTTCATTCGTATTTAATAAACGTAAAATTAATTTATAGAAAGAAACTGAACATTCCAAGAGAATACACTATGAATGTTCTTATGGAGTATAGTATAAATATTTCTATAGAACATTCAAAGGTCCCCCGCAAAAAGTGCACTCCCATTATTAAAGAAACATTCCCGGGAATGTTTCTTATATAAAATAAAGATTTGAAAAATCCAGCGAGAGTTTATATTTGAATTTAAACAGGTATATTGATTGAAAATTTTACCTTCACTGCAGTCATAATATTTCTGGTCTGTTTTGTGATTTTTCTCCAATTTGCAAATATAATCCTGGATGTGTTTCAAACCACCATCGTCTCTAGTGCACTTTGTAGACATATTAGTATGCAAACCTATACAAAAATTAGGTAGAAACTTTAGTTAATTCTATCAGCAAGAATTACCTGACGGAACTCCGTTCTTAACTAAGTTTGCTTTAAAGCTAGCTGATAATCCAAACTCTTCCGCCACTCGCTGGATTATATATCTGGCCATCCAAAGATCATCTGCAGCTTTGATACTTAACGTTGGCCCAGTTAACACCTCCCATTGGCCGTAAGCTCTCTAAATATTAAGCAATCTCTCTAGAGGCTAAGCAAAGCAGCTCGCGCAAAGTTAATTTTACCTCAGCGGTAGTTCCATAAATTTCAATTCCTGAGTATAAACAGCACCGGTAAATGCATTCTAGGACTTCGCGCCCCACTACGCGTTGTGAACCAATGCCAGAATAGTTTTTACCTGACAAAAAAAATGCCAGCAAATTCACAGTTTTTCCGGTGACTTTCACAATTTCTACCAGATGATTTAGGAGTCGATCCACACGGCCATCCGTATGGGTCCCCTTGAGGGCCGATGAGATAAAACTCTTGTTCAAAGCCAAACATCACCTCTTGCTCACACACTTTGTTCAATACTTCAATGCAGCATTGTCGATGATTGGTTTTTGTCGGTTTTTTATCATGAGAAAACGTTTCGCAAAGAACCATCTTGTTATTGCCTGAAAACAACTGCAGCTATAAAACCTCTTATATTGCGTCCATATAATGTCACCTCTTCGGAAAGGGTCTGCATACATGGCAATCGGAACAATGTAATTATCCGACTGTTCAGGGGTACCTTAAAGAAATAATTACATCTCAAACGACACAAATTGGTCTAATGCTTCTATTTTATATCTGTTGAACTATATTATATCCAGCAGATATGAGTGTAACGTACGCCATGAATATCCAGTTAGGTCATAGATTTACAGGGTGTAACATAAAAGTGGGCAATTAATGAAACAGTGAATTTTTTAGTAGAAAAGCGCTAAGAAAGAAACAGATACGATACCATGGTTTGGAAGCGAACTGTGAAGAGTTTCAAAATCGGTCTAAAACCCTTTTACTAATTAACTAAAATTTAATGAGATTATTCAGTTTCAGAATTTATTACCACACATATAACTATCAAAACTTGTCCATCTCACTACACAGAAAAAGTTGGTCGATTTTACAAATTAAAGTTAGAAATAATAATAGTGTGCATTCCGTAATCGCCATATTTGTTGTAAATTCATTACCAAACTATGTATTTAAAGTTCTACAAACAATATGCCAATTCAAAAAATGTTGATATTTATATAAGATTTCAAAAGTATAACAGGGAGATAACATTTTTTTCTTACAAAATAGTTTATTATTTAATATTAAGGGGAAAATGCTAAAAGTACTATTTTCACGAATAACTTGCTCCTTACCAGAAAAGTATGGAACCCTTTGCTCTTCCATATTGAACAGAAAGAATTAAGGTACCTATTTATTTTTTTTAATTAGCAACTTGTTACTTTTCTATTTCAAATTGCTTGCACCCACTCAACAGACAAACTGATTTTTTTATTATAAATCTGTGGTGTCTGAACGCGAGCAACCTCCCTGCAAGAAAGTCCTCGACCAAATGGGCTGCATATCTATATATCTATAATTTAATATATTGAAAATATGTAAGTTATCTTGTATAAATCCATTTAAAATACTGGATATACTTGAACATTGAACGGACATCCAATAGATATAGTGCTATAAAGAGACTTAACGTTATTATGTTTGTATGTAGATACAAAACAGTTTTGAAAAAAATCAGTGGTCAAAAACTAAAAAAATGAATGATAGACGGGAAATTAAAATAATCAGACGGTTTGAAATCAAATGGTTATTTTTGCGTTATTTCCCAAGATATGCAGTTACTTACTAAAAAATGTACTGCTTCCATCAAAACTCCAATTGGGGCAATCTTTGTAATTACAGGGTGTAAAACTCAGTGTCCGAGTCCGCATACGTAGATCCAGACCCGTTCCATCGATCCATACGTAGGAAATTTGCGTTTTAGTATCTGGTATAGGCAAACACATATATCTACAATATTACACAAACTCCTCATGTAACAATATCAGTAACAAGCTTTAAGCTCTCACGCTTACCTATCTGCAATAGTCTTATCCAGTTGGGCATTGGCTGAACAGTCTAAAAAATTAGGTCTACATGCGCTCAGCTGCAAGTTTCTTTTAAAATAAAACTGTGTGCATTTAATGGTTTTTAATAATATGTTATTCAAATACATTATGTGCTGAAGGCGCTTGACAAATCTTGATAATTCGTGACATTAGTGTACCTTGGAAAGGTGCCTAATCTACCTCAACTTTAAAGGTGACTTGCTAAAGAATGATGTGTAATATATAAGTGTCTGGGATTATGTTAATAATATTAATTTGAAGGAATAACTTCCCAAAGTTTTTTCAACGTGTAGCCTTCTTTAATCGATTCAATAGCAAGTCCCAATTCCTTTGAATATACTGGAAGTCTATCTTTTTTATGTCCTTCGTCCGCTAGGTAGACTGCTAAGGTGTTTCCAATTTCATTTTTCGGGTCCTCTACTATCTAGAACGGATACGCAATGTATGACAAGGAAATTCAATTAACTACGGTTTCTACATCTAAACCTTCCCATATGTCGCCTTTTTCGTCATTTTCCTTTATGTTTGTGCTCCACATATACTCGACGCCATATATTGGATTGTTAAATAACACCGTATGCAGTGATGTGAGTTCTTTGTAAAGAGTTATCAGCTTTTCTTCAGGGTCGACTTTAAATCCAAGAATAAAATTCCCACTGCGTTCGTTACTTTTGATTACCAGCGCTTTGCCAAATTTGGAGTCTCGGACACGAATCTATACAAGAACAAATTTAGGCACTTTGTTTCAGTTAGAACAGTTGAGAATAGTTTACAGATTCTACTTGAAGATACGGCAATGAAATGTTGAAACCTTCATTGATATCAGCAAACCAAACGAAGCGGATATTTGAGACTATAAACGTTCCGAGACTACCTTGGTCACTTGACAAATTCCATACTCCATGCATGCTCGAAACCACTTGCTCTAGAGGTAAGATTTTCAGTTTTTTATTATGCACCACTCCACCACGAAGTTTCAATTCTCTGTAAAGCTTGGATGTTATGTAGGCTCTGAAATTTAAAATGTTTAATTCCTGTAAATAATAAAAGGGTTTAAGCACAAAGAAAATATGTTACACCAGTGGAGGTTGCAGGAGCACAAGGGCTGTAGAGATTCCACAAAAAAATGTATTTGCAAAAAGCCAATATAATGCTAAATATATAACATTTGTGTTTATTTTTGGAGGGTGGAAAAGCTTAGATAGAAATGGAGGTCACCGATTTAGAGAATTACACGAAAATTGTAAAAGCCATCTTAATACTTCACTTAATCTTAACTTAATATTAATCTCTCTACTTCACTTAATTTTAATAATTCATTCTACTTAATTTGTAAAAAAGTAGATAATTTTTGCAAAAATTGCACACCAGCCTACATTAGTATTATATTTATATTCTTAAAAAGTAGCTACCTATTTTTTTCTAGCTAAATTGTCTTTCGCCTCATACATTTGATCTTGCAAGATGAGATATCAAACTTTGAAACTTACTTGTATACACCAACCACTGTAGTAAAATGTCGAATATTTCCTTGGTCTAGATTTGTAAAAACAAATTCATATCGAGTACCATTCGATATGGTTAGCAAGTGCAATGCGTGTGTAGTTCCTTGAATTTTCTTAAAATAAGGCCCCAAACTACATTCACACTGATGCAATAAATATTTCGTTTTGTACTCACTGAATTTATAATTTTCGTATTTATTGAAACTATGCAGTTAAAGCCAATAGCTACGGTAAACGGAAACAATAAATAAATCCTTAAATGTTCAATTCTAGACTTGTAAGCTTACAGAGATTGACTCGAGGGCTGGACATTGAATGCCAAAGAATCCTCAAGTTAGTAATGATAAGTCGGCCACGATCACCATAATTTCCTTTGGTATCCTCAATATCACCAAGTTTATCAATAACTTTTTCCCCATGCCTCAACCGCATTTCGCTTTAACAAAGTAAATTCTTTTTAATTAATCATTGATGGAATGTAAGTACCTACGAGTAGGGCACATCAAAACTGACTTCTTTATCTTCCCAGGTTAACGCCATTGAGATTATTTAATAAATAAGTTCCAAAATGTATGTAACTTGTTTTCGATTGAGTGGCAAAACGCGATTATTGATTTATTATGCTGTGAATACAAACAGACCCATTTAGAAACTCCATTAAAGCTTTACCGAGGTTCTTATTCAACATTTCTAATCAAGTGTTTTACGAATTTCTTTCTTCCCTTGTTCTCATTTCTCGTTCGCTTATTACTTATAGCAAAAATCTTTTTTTTGTTTTGTCATTTGATGTTTATAAAATGGGATCCAACGTAGTCAACAATTCGTGATTAAACAAGCTAGAAAATGCTCGGTAAAAACCGTTCATAAAATTATATTTGGATTTTTCATCACATGTTCAAAACTGCTAACTCAATTAAATTTGATTTACTAGTCCAGCCACGGACATACTGTACGTTGAGGCTCTTGCCATTTATGTTTATAGCATAATATATTGGACCAAATTTCGTGTTTGAGTGTAATTTCAACACTTTCTAGTGCAAAGTATATAAAAGTAAGGTATATATCGGTGGATATTTTTTTAAAGATGAAACATTAAATTTTTATCACGAGTAGTTTTTATTGAACCTTTAAAAGTATGCGTAGTATGCGATAATTAAAACAAAACAGATATATAATATTTTATTTGTCACTATTACAAAAACTATGCTAATAGCAGTACTTTAAAGGGGTTTTCTAATAAATTATAAAAAGACGAATTTACAAAAGACCACTAAGTAAAAGTAGTAATGGCAATACAAGCAGTAACGTACAAATATTGTTTTGCTTGTATTTGTACTAATGAAGGTATTACAATAAAATATTTTGAACATCTGAAACCAATTAGTCTCAAAGCTACCCACCTACAAATTGTATTTGGAAATAGGAACGACTAGAAGTATTTAAGAGAAACGATTTTAGAACCATTAATTGGCAAAGAAAAATAAGATAGAATCCGATTGGTACAGATATAATTAATTGCCCAAATCAGATTGCAAATAAATATCTCATATCAGATTTTGACCATCTCAGTTTACATTTTTTACAATTTACCAGCTTTACCAAAAACAACACTCTTGGGTGGAATGATTATGTTTCAGTCAATGAACTCAGTTATCCGTAACTGGGGCATATAATGATTTAGATGTTCAACCAAAAGCTTTGAAAATTTTATTTAACACAATGTCTCCTTGCGACTCCTAATTTAAAAACTAATTAGGATGGAGTGAAGCATACATGGGAGCTGCCTTGGCTAACTCAGATGCATTCTTGGCAGCATCTTTGAGTTTAGTGGCCGCCGTCGCTGTTACATAGCCGGTTTGAATAACGTGTTGGTGAGGATACATGTTCTGAAGTACATGGTTAAAGCCTCCAACCATTTTATGGGCGTTTTTCTTGAACCTTAAACGAGAAAGCAAATAATAATTTACAAGTTGCTGATACCGATTAGAATCGGTAATACCTTTCATAGCCAAATGCGCAAATTGCCCTGCTAAAACCTCTAACTTGAGAATCAATCCAAGCATATCGCGTTGCGACAGTCTTCGACGGATTTACATCACACTGCGTGTAAGTTACCTTTTCAGTAACACTCTGAAATGAATTGATTTAATGTTAATAACCGGAATAGATTAGCCAAAGAGTAGATTTCCGCCAGAAAAAAAGGCGAGTGTTCTAAAAGCACAGTTTACCGCTACATACCATAACTTTTGTGAATCCTATATTTCTTGTATAGGTGACTAGAATCTTGTTTTTCGCATCGACTATGCTCTCTTCAACAATATAAACATACGTTGTGTTGATGAAACGTTTTGCCCAGTTTGGAATGTTATTCGTTTTAGTCAATATTCTTTTGGAAACCAGTTTTCCTGATTTCAGTTCTCTGGAGACTGTGTCCTCACTTAACACGTGCTTGCTGTAAATTAACAATCAGTGTCATCTCTTCGAAAATCCCACTTTTCTGCCAATAGATAATCTTAGAACTATATCTGTATCTAAGAACGTTTTTATTTAAGAGTACAAGTATAATTAATAAGTTTTAATTTTTAGACTAGTAACTGTTTGCGATAGTCTGATCTGTAGAGCAGTTATGAGAATCCCTTGTTACAATTACACTAGAAGCATGAAAATTCACTTGAATGAGAAACAGTTTGGTCACCCGAACGAAATATAAAGGGTATTTTAAAATAGGTCGAATTTTGTTTTTGTTTTTGAAGCGTCCTGGCGTCACACTGTGACTGGAGCCCAGGAAATAAAATAATATGATAACAATTACACGCAGTCAGGAAAATAAATCAAAATTGTAAAGAGTGAAAATAGGTAAATGTTTAAAAAACAGCCTATGTTAAATATGTGACTATTTTCCTATAAAGTGGTTGAATATAATGATCAATTTAATAATTATAATCAAATCAAAATCAATTCCTGGGTTTCAGTCATTTATTGTCTCTATTTATCAATTAAAATACGTTTTGGTGTATTTTTCCACCATCATCAGTTTTTATGTGTAACGTTGTTGCTGCTTTAAGCCTTGGCATACATTTTCAATTTTCCTGACTGGAACCCAGGAATTGATTTTGATTTGGAATTGAAACACAGTCAGGAAAGTATGTACAATAATTATAATAAACGTTCTTGAAAAAATGTCAAACAACCTTTAAACCAATTTATACAGCGCTCGAGCAAAAAATCTTCAATGACAATGTAAGAATTGATTCGATTACATCTCTAGTATCAACTTTTAGTTGAGACTTCCACTGCTCTTGATTTTACGGGAACATCATCGGATTAAACGGCTGAGGTCAGTTTTTAGCTGCTTGTAGTGGTCTCTCATGTTCTAAATCACTTAATTTATGCCTCTTTTAAGGCTCTAACAGATATGGCAATAAGAGCGATACACGGATCATAAATCCGTTTATGGGTTTGTTGCAATCAAACTTTGGTTTCTTCAAACATATTTTTCGTCTGTTTTATATTATTCTAGCTGACCCAGCAAACGTTGTATTGCCATATAAATTATTCCTAGGGTTTTTTATCATCTCAAGGTTCGCCCACTTGAGATTTTTTTAAAATTTTATTTTAAATTTATTGAATTACTAATATAGCTATTAAAAGATAGGGGTTTATGGCAGCACCCATATCACTTAGGGGTATAAAAAATAGATAACAACCTATTATCAGACCTACTGAATATACATATAAAATTTCATCAAAATTGGTCAAGCCGTTTCGGAGGAGTATGGTAACTAAAACTGTGACACGAGAATTTTATATATATATAGATTTATATTGTTATATTATGGCACTATTCTGGTGAAGTGTGAATTGCATACGAAATAAACGTGAGATGTTTAAGATTATTATCAGTACTTTGTTTTACTTGTACAAGTTGTGTTTATAATTTAATTTTAATGCGAGTCTTCCCAATAAGAGTATTTTTTCATACGTAACCGACGTTAATTGATAAAACGTATAAAGGCCAAAATAAGTTTTCTTGCTGTCGTGCAAAAAATTCTGGGAGAAGTAAAAATTATATCGCGCGATTTTTTTCCATTCAAAAGCATAAGCTGGGTGAAAAATAAGAACCACAAAATATGCAACTAGTTGACAGCTAGGTAGAAGTGATTTCGAAAAAACCATATATTTGTTATCGACATTATTTCAAAAGAATTTTATTTGTCCGTCTGATGTAAAAGTGGAAAAAGTGCATTTCTGGTAATGTATATTTACACTCGAAGAAGGTTCCAAATATATTCTACTCGAAACGCTTAAAGATACATTTGGAGCCGCTAAAACGTTACTTATTCTCTGTAATTAAAATTGCAACTGGTAAAGACGTCCATTGATGTATTTTACATATAAAAGCATGATTACAACTTATGCAACTATTAACAGGTAGGTATAGGTAGGTGCGAGCAAGGGAATTTAGATAAATATTTATCGCTTTAGATATAATTAAATCAAGGTCGAAAAATAACATTGTTTTTCATTCTCCAATTTAAAAATAATCCATCCGTTTAGTAGGTCCGAAAATAATACACTTCCAGGTGTCACCTCTTATAATATTCATAGAATCATAATTATTTAAATAATTTAAATACTATTTAGAAACTAAAAACATGAAACATGAGTTTACCTTGCTCCTATTTGATTACAAAAGAAAATCAGCATGTATGAGGAATAGGACAAAAACATTGAGCATTCCTTTTAAAGCATCTTAACTGTCTGTTACCTGTTGGGATTGGGGTACCGTTTCCAAAAGCCCTGAGCGACTTGCTCCCAGCTGTAATTAAATATTGCCGAATTTTCATAGAATTTCATTTTGTCAAGCTTTCAGGAACTTCGTCGAAAATCTTCTTTATGTAATGTTTTATGCTGGTTTATGTAATAGGAGAACTGGCCTTGTTAGAATTGGAACACCGATCGCCGTCTTTCTATTTTCTCCATCACTTTTCCAACTCCTTAAGAGGAATATGAAAAATGTTGAACACTGGAAAGCCTTTAAATCTTCAATCAAATTAAATCTGTGTCAAACACAACCTTACATGTGTGTTGAGAAACTACTAGGCTGTGTTGCCATTTGTCACGTGGCTTTTAAAATAAGGCTTTATGTAATTGAAGGTTCAAATACAGTTTGAAAAGTTAGCTAAATTTTAAGTAATGTGTGGAGTTGTGAATGTCCAATAAGTGGTTTTAGGATATTGAGTTTAAATCGTCAAGTAGCTTATCTAGTATTTATAATGTAAATTTAATGAACATTGATAGTTGAATGGAGCACTTTATGTGCCACCCGGCAACATCGAACGTAAACGTGAGAAAACCCTCGTGCTTGAATATGTTCGTTTAAGAGCTAAATTTGAAACTTTTTCTCTAACAGTTGTAGTTTCCAAATATTGTGGGTTGAAAAACTAGAATGTTTTATGGCTAATTTAACAAACTGGTTTCTTTCGGGTTTTCATCATATATGATGTCGAATTTTATAAGAGCCCGGGTAGCTCAGTCGGTAGAGCATTGGACTTTTAATCCAAGGGTCCAGGGTTCAAGTCCCTGCTCGGGCGAAAAATTTTTTATGTTAAAATTCAACTGATTTTACTTTTTGTATCTCTAAATTTTAAATTCTATCGAATCAATTAAAGTTTTATTGGAAAATTTAAAAACTCTTGATCAGGTAATCAAACTGATAAAAATCACTTGTAGGTTGGAGATTTTAGAATGTTCCGCAAAATCATTTAAATACATACTTTCTAACTGGATATCACTAATAACCAGGGTGTTATCATCTGACCTGCTAATTGATTAATAACCTTGTGTTGAAAGTTAAACTAAGGATATCTTTTGAAAGATTTCATTCAGACAATTACTTGTCTGTTTCAGTCTCCGACTGACATCCTCAGGGACGACATTAATTATAGAGTAAAACAGAAGGCTGTGCTAATTAATAGTGTTTCATCTAGTGTTCCTTAATAGTCTAAAATTTAAATATGAAAGCTGTTGAACGTCGACCTCCTCGGGTAATTATTTAATATCTTTTACTGCTAGAATAAGTTATAAATGAAATGAGGAATGAGCGAAGAAAAATCAACTTCATTTTACATTATATGAAATCAAAACGATTTTTATATAATAGAAAATAATAATAAGAGGCTAGGATCCTGGTCTCTTATTCATCGGCCAGGTGGAAAATGTCGTTGAGGTTCCAACTTTAAGAAAAAATACAATTTAAACCCGAAAACATTGGAAATGGTGCAATGAGGATGCAGTTTACGGGTTGAAACCGGTTTTTCTCGATTTGCGGCGAAACGTGACCTCCTAGCGGAAAACGTCCAATGCAAAAGTTGCAGATGATGAAAAGATCTAAAACTTGTATGTTTAACACTTTTTAATATAACCTCAAATAAACTGCCAACGGGGCAAAAACCTTTTTTCCAATATTTGTTTTTTTCACGCACATAAATGACTTAATTTACCTGAAATTTGGTAAAAGTATGTCTTTTTTGGTGCTATATAAAGTATGATAAGCTTGATTTTTTCATAGTTCAGCAGGCGACTAGTTTTCGAGTTATGTACATTTTTCGAAAAAACTTCCCTTATCTTCCACGAACAATTGCAATTGTTGACATGTCTTGACCTTTTTTGTATTTCGGTAGGGAAGGTACAAGTGGTCATTTTAACCGTTGTAACGTCTACTTTGAAATGATATATGTGACTTGGTGATTTATTTATCGTTCAACCGACTAAAATTGAGAAAAACTGAATTCCTACTCGAGATCTCAGTCATTCATGATTTCTTCAGGATTATCAATGATTTTCGATTTCATTCATTATTTCTGTTAATATTAGACTATACTTCACTGACTGCTTTCATGCAAGATTATTACAGTTGAAAAGGTTAAATAAATAACATAAAGTCTTTGATTACACATATTAAGGATGGAACTATGATTCCAAAGGAATCTACGTTTTGATCTTTTAAATACAAAAAGTATCAAGACAATTGTTAGTGGAATATCAGGGTTAATTTTTCCCGAAAAGGTACATAACTCGAAAACTAGTCGTCGTCTGAGCTGCAAAAAATTATGCTTATTCAACATCAAAAAAGACGTATGGACCTTTACAGATGTAAATTAAATCATTTATGTGCTAGAAAAAAATCAAATACTGAAAAATCGTTCTTTTGCCATTTTGACGGTAAATTTGAGATTAGCCAAAAAGTATAAAATTGGAGACTTTTTGATTTTTTTATTATCTACAACGTTTGTATTGCACGTTTTCCGCTAGGAAGTCACGTTTCACCGCAAATCGCAAAAAAAACGTTTTAAACCCCTAAACTGCATCCCCATTGCACCATTTCCAGTGATTTCGTGTTTAAACGGAACGGTGTGGAACCTCAACATTTTCGACCTGTTCCGTCCCCGTTATTAATTTATTTTAAAAACATTGCGACAAATTTTTCAAATATGTGGCAATTAGATGTATTCAAGGTTGCCTAGCATTCCTGCAAATAACGCATTTTTACATTAGAAGTTGATTACGAAGATGTTTATTTTATTAACTAGATTAACTTTTGAAGATCATTTTTTAGTCCTTTATAAAATTCAAAAAAACTGTACTAATGCTGACGAAAACTTGCGGAAAGTGTTTGTTTTGCTTTATCACACTTCAACTATTCTCTATCCCTGTCCAACGCATTACAAATCCTTATAAAATTGGATCGTGGACTGATTCGCTGAATATTTCAAGGTATAATTGAATAAAGCCAGCAATTCGTACCGGAAAGGTAAACCAGCGCGTGTACCGAGCTTTATTGACCTCTATTTAACCTTCGTGTCTGTGTGGGTTGATTTGTCATACCCGGCTGATTTCCCTTAAGCATTTCTCTAGTTTTTAGTGAAAAAAACAGCTGAAAACAGTTTATATTCAGTTTATTTTACTACCCAGTGTCATTAAACGCAATTGAGGTAACTATATTTCATAAACTTGAGGTATTTTTGGCTTTTGGGGCAATTTAATTATGGCTGTCTCGTGCTTATTAACAATTTTCATTGTTCATAGTGTTATACTAACAGCTAGAATATAAGAAAATACACAACAGTTTGCATATATAGTTTATGCTTTGCTGTCATAAACATAAAATCAATAATTTGGGAATGACGAACTGATGATGAATGATAGAATGAGGGTGTTAAAGATATTATATTAATTCAGATATTTTTATGATACAAAAACAACCATCTACGTTGTAGGCAGGTATACGTATTGTACTTGGAGCATCTTCAGTTCATCAAAACTATTATTACTTAAATGGTTGCCCACCCTCGAAAACCATTGCTTTACCCGAATTGTGGCAGGGTTTCATTGGTGAAAAAAGAATAAACATCTCAAGAAAACTGTTGACAAGTTAGCTATTTTGAAAAATACCTGGGTCGGTAGACGCTATTAAATTTTCAATTACTGGAGCTCCGTTGAAATCAAGATTTTAAGGAAATATTCTATGTTGAAACAAGTCGATTTCTTTCTTTTAAACAGTTAAAAAACTTGGACGAGCAAGGTCCAAGTGTCGTTCGTTCAAAAGCCCGCAAAGTAAAGAAAGGCATAAAGCACATTGCAAAAAGAGTCATTTGAAATCACTCGAAAATTGTTGGTTGTATCAAAAAGTCACATGTTGTACTTTTTTCACAAGTTTCCTCAAAGTTTCTTTACAAAACGATTGGACCGGTGATCACCACATCAACTCTCAAAAGTTGCATATGCTCGGTGGCTCTTCTAGCCAGTTTTTCCTAAATACCTATTGGTTTACCCTATGTTTATTAATTCTATGAGACCTACATGTATACCGAGTTTAAGAGCTGATCGTTCGCTAGTTGACACATAATAGATAATATTGTAAAGAAAGCGCAAAACTTAAACCACAAATTTTGCAATAGCATACGGTAAATTACAGGGTCGATCGAGTGCATAGACTGATAAAAAAAAATCTAAGTTGATAATGGTGACCCGAAAACCTAGCGTTGAGTTCGATAGCTGATCGTATACATATAATCTTGTAGCGGATAAAAAGTTGTTTTAAAAATTTGACACTTATTTTTAAACCATATTATCAAATAAACTCAGTACGTAATTTTGTTTAGCATCAAAACACACAATTTTGTTCTAATTTAACCGGCTGCGAATCTTCTACAATTTACGAGATTATTCCAATTTCCAATAGTAAAAGTTCGATTTTGTTACACCCTGTCGTATTGCCTTATTCGAATATCACCCGGTATATATGAGTAAATGTTTTACCAAGAATACATTATGTTTATTAAATACCATGTACATATTCAAAAAGCTAGTATTTCTTGTGATTTTGGACGTTTTTCTATTCACTTTGCACCTTGAAAGCAAAATACTGTTTCAAATATTGCCTTCGAACACACTTCTTAGAATAGATCAGATGAGAACCCTTTCAGTTATGCTTAGTAATCATTGATTTAAAAGTAAAAAGAATTTCAACATCAATAATATTCTTGGACAATAATTGGATGGCAATGAAATCAATTTTATTTAGCCTCGAATTAGATACAGCTGCTACGCTACGATTTAATAAACTGATTTGGAAAAAACTGATTTTTGAAGTACATAGATACTTATCGAATTACTTTCACATTTCAAGGAATCCATTCCAAGGATATTAACTGACATAGTAATAAAAATACATGCTTTTTCTCATTATTCACATACTTACTGTACACTAACAAGTTGTGTGACCTATATGGGCATTCTGTAATTTTCAAGTTTTAAAGGCCGGATATAACATGTTCACACATAATTAAACGGGAATAATGTGAAAGTCATTTTTCTGTTAACATATTTTTAATTTTCTCTATAAAAACCAATATTCTTTTACCTCAGATTAGTACTGTAGTAGATAGTACGTTTACTTGTGCAGAGTTTTATTTTTAAGTATATGATAATTATCTGGCCTTTGTATGGCAAAATGTTTTATACTGATTTTTATTTTACCCGATTTAAAATTTTGAACAATTTGTAGGGGCACATAACAATTTTTTCATGATACATATTTCATATCCGCAGTAGTTTGTCAGATGACTCAGACGGATGTTTCACTTAGCGACAAAAGCCCAGCGAAGATTTCGTTCAGCCAAATATTTCACTACGTTTATATAAACATGGGTTTGCAAGTGGTTTATTTCCATGCTTTATAAATAAAAAAAATGCTATAAAATCCAGCAATCAAACCTAATTGATCCAGAGAGCGTCACGGAGTAATGAATAAATAAATAAACGTTTATTTAAATCGACTAAAGAAAGTTATTAAGTTTTTAAGAAAAAAGCACGGTCAAAAAACTGAATTAAAAAAATGTTAAGTATCTTTAAAAAAAGATCCATGCAGCAAGAAAACAAAACCCACACATTTTCCCACATTTGGTGAATGGAATCTGTTCAACGCAGTCGTTTTAACTGTGAACACCCGGTAGAATTTCATCGAAAAATAGATCAGCTGCTCATTTAGTGATAATAAAAATCTATATCCTGGCTTTCGTTAGCAACTCAAGTCAAGTATCACAAATCATTTATTTACATTTACAATATGATATCAGTTTACAAAAAAAATACAGAAGCCATTATTCTTGTGTGCAACACCATTATTATCATTAACATGTGAAGTTATCATTATCACTTGTAGGTGAAATGATTATATGAGCTTTTATCTACATCCATTTTAAGGGGAATGTGACAAAATTAAGAGATATGTTATGCAATCACTAGGAAAACATATAATAACGTTAATCATAACGTCCTGTTATGATATGACGTGAAATGTTTAACATCTTTTACAACTATACAAATATTTATATATTTTTATTTTATAATATTTGTATGTTCTTGAGCTTGAGCTGTAAATAAGATAGACGAATGTATCGAAATGCTTATCGGACTATTAATTACCTATAGAAATAATAATGCAAATCATAACAGTTTAAGTAGTTTTGATCAAAATTAGAGGTTTAAATATTTTATTTTTTGATTGCAACTATTTATATTGGGATGCTGTTGCGAAACAATCAGATTTTATGAGAAAGGTTTTTTCACAAAATTTCCAATAAAAGAAGCACTTTTTAATAGAAAAATCAAGAACTTTATACCTACTCATCAATTCCTCCTCACTAATGCAGATTGGAAATACAATAAACTAGTTGAATATATGGGGCAACAATCCACCATATGTCAGTAATTATTTGTCACTATTTTGAATAGTTCAAGCTGATTGAAGATTATCCTTGAAAACCTTGAAATATTTTATTCAAATTCATACAAATCTGACCTGGAAAGTTTCTGACCCATAGTTGTACATAAGCAAGTAAGTGTTTCTTATCTCGCAATTGAGCGAAAAAGAATCGGAAGAAGCGCATATTGATTATCTCTATCAATGGGGTTTATCAAATTACTAGATGATTTCGAATTTGCGAACCTATTGCGCTAATTAGGTACCATTCTTAAATATCAGCTTCAGTGTATAGTTTATTTCACAGTAAGTAAGTCATTTAGTTAACTGTTTATATTTTAGGAAAACACTCACTAGGTAGAGGTACCTATTTATTATTGTTTCGTTTGGTACCTATCAAGCAGATTGCCATTTAAGTTTTTTAGAGGTTTTACTGATATCATATTATTTCCACACTCCCACTCTTAATTTCACTTTAATTATTTCTACCTATATTGAAAAAAACCTGGGTAAATTATTTACAAATTTTGGTATTCTCAAATATTTAGATTTTTAGCGTTATTTTTTTGAGGAAAATATCTTACGGTTCCTGGTGGAAAAGCCAATGTACGTCATGGAAACAAATGAGATGACAACGGTTTTTCTATTTTAGCGAAGGTTTATAAATATACTTGTTTCTTCCGTCGTATAACTAGTACCTATACGTTTTGGTTAGGTTTGCTTCAATGTTCGGCGGCATAGAACATTACGCGATATGTATATTGCATTATCTAAGCGATCTAAATTTAGATATTGCCGATTATTTAAAAAGCCTTGTACACTTTTGCGTCCTAGAGCAGATGCATCAGATAATAATTGTAAATGGTGGGGATTTTTAAACTTGTAGGCCGACACTGCAAGGTAATTTCAAGTTTGTTAGCCGGAGAAATCTGGATTTTTGATAAGCTGCGATTTGAGCCAAGGTTTCTTCAAAACAAACACTTCCGTGCCCTGCAGATTGCAGCCAGAACAATGGTTTGGACAACAATCAATGACCGAATCAGCAATGTTAATCCCGAGGTTTGAACCTTGTGTAGATCCTGCCAGCAGTTTTCAGTTTCTAATTTTTTTCTACTGTATCTGCCTGATTTTTTTTTATCATCATGACTGCCCCTCATGCCTTTGTTCATTTTTTTGTCATAATGCTTGTATTTTACTGCTTGGTTTTAATACAGCAAGCCAACATGCTTTGATTGATACCTATACACGATTTTTTTACTTATTTTTTTTGTATAAAGGTTTTATAATCGTATTTCTGGTTGAAATTGCAATGCGTGTATTTGTTCATAATGTTATTTTAAAATCAAAACTGCTTTAAAAGTCAATGAACTTGAACTTTAATAACAAGTTGAGTTGGCCTCCTTTATTTTCTTATTTACACAATTTGATAAAAAAGTTTGAAATATTATTTTTGTTTAGATGAGCGCAAATGTGCTACCGTTCCAGATGCAAGCTGCTGAGTCCAACACCCAGTTGGATCATCTATGTGCTTTGGACATCCATTCCAGAGCTTCCTATGTCAGACTTAGTGGTATCATCTGTACCATTGGTAAGAAAATAAATTAATGTACATTTTCATTTCAGATTCAGAATTCTTAAGGTTCTTTGAAGATCGACCTGCTATAAAATGTGCAAATCCTATTTAAATCGTTTAAAAATTGCAGCTTTTATTAAATTTGTATCGAATGCCGTTTTATTACTTAAAACGGTAACTTATCTATTCCAATTCAGAACTCTTGGTTCATATACTCAAAGCTTCATTATTAAGTAAGGATATAGAGGCTTATTTAGTGCTCATATTTTCCACTGAGTCTTCTGTATTAAGAAATGGATGAGGGAAAGTTCTTAAGTTATTGTAATTTAAATAATATATACAAGAGATTAAAAAAAGGTTGACGCTTAAAACATGTTTTTAAACGAAACCACTCGTTTAGTCTGTTACTGCTCATGTCGACGTTTCAAATGTACTTTAAACTTTCGTCTACGATTGTTGCACGTGAAAAGATTGTCGATTTTTTCCTAAATAACCCTTTCCTAATATGTACATCTTTTTAAGTCATCTAATTAGGTTCCTTAATTATTGGGGAAGGATTCGTTAATGGATAATTCCTCCTGGAAAAATGCCCTTCAAGAAGCAGTCTTTGCTAATGAAAAAAATACTTAGGTATATTATTAAATAAATATTTAAAACATTAAATGAACGATAATGTTGTTGACTATCGAAATAGAAACTCTTCTATGTAAAATATCTCCAAAATGAATCCGAAGAGTTCTTTCTTATTGATAATAGAGGCAATTTTTATATTTTATGAAATTGATGATGCAAGTGGTGTATTGAGACACCGAACCGACGTTTAAAGATATTTTTGACCAATCGTTTATTCTAATTTATTTTCACTCTTTTAGCAATGTTTTCAAGTTTCTAATGTTTAAAATATTTTTTTTGTAAATTTCTGAGAAGATAAAAGTCTTATATGTATTATTTTAAGCGATTTTTTAAGGAAGTTTTGTACTTTACGAATGCTGTCGTCATGTAAAGTTAAACTAAAAAATTATCTCGATAGGACCTGCATCAAAGGATCCTGCTGTCTTAGAAAAGATGATGGAAGTGGGTATGAACGTGGCTCGGCTTAACTTTTCCCATGGTTCTCATGAATATCATGCCGAGACCATCAAGAACATCAGGGAAGCGGTGGCAAACTACAGCAAGAAGATTGGTATGACTTATCCTTTGGCTATTGCTTTGGATACTAAAGGTCCCGAAATCAGAACTGGATTGTTGGAAGGCGTAAGTTTGCGTTATTTATATCTAATTATTGGTTTATGTTTTTGTTTTTAATGTAATAATATAACAGGATCAAGTGATCAAATGCATTAGAGATTCAACAAAAGCAGTTTTAAGAGTTGGTATTTTGATATTTAAAACCTTTTCACGATTTCATTTTTATAAATATCCACATTTACGATTTATTATGGAAAATTAAACTCTATTAACTGCCTATGACTTGAGAAAAATATATGTACCTAATATTATATTTGTTCTATTTGCAGGGAGGATCTGCTGAAATCGAATTAAAAAAGGGCGATACTATTAAGCTGACCACAGATAAAGCTTACGCCGAAAAAGGAAACAAAGACACTGTATTTGTTGACTACGACAATATCCAAAAAGTGGTCAAAGTTGGCAACAAGATTTACGTGGATGATGGTCTAATTTCGTTGGTGGTCAGCCAGATTCAGGGATCCTTCCTAACGTGCACCATTGAAAATGGCGGTATGCTGGGCAGCCGTAAAGGTTAGTTTATTGGAAAATTAAACCTGATGTCCTTAATTGAAGGGTTTACCTTTCAGGTGTTAATTTACCCGGTGTCCCCGTTGATCTGCCAGCCGTGTCCGAGAAGGACAAATCCGATCTGCAGTTTGGCGTTGAACAAGGAGTTGACATGGTCTTTGCCTCATTTATTAGAAATGGAGCTGCACTAACTGAGATCAGAAATATCTTGGGCGATGCTGGAAAACATATTTTGATCATTTCTAAGATCGAGAACCAGCAGGGTGTGGCAAATCTGGACGAAATCATTGAAGCTTCTGACGGTATTATGGCGGCTCGTGGAGATTTGGGGATTGAAATTCCAACCGAAAAAGTATTCTTGGCGCAAAAGCAGATGATTGCTCGATGCAACAAGGCTGGAAAACCCGTGATATGTGCCACTCAAATGTTGGAATCAATGGTAATTTCAAAATAAGTCCAGCACGATAGATCTGATTTTTAAATATTGCCATTTAAAACAGGTGAAGAAGCCCAGACCTACTCGTGCTGAATCTTCAGATGTTGCCAATGCTATCTTGGATGGTGCTGATTGTGTTATGTTGTCTGGAGAAACTGCTAAAGGCGACTATCCTCTGGACTGCGTTCAAACCATGGCCAGTATTTGTAAGGAAGCTGAGGCTGCCATCTGGCACAGACGGCTGTTTATTGATTTGTCTCTTAATGTGAGTTTTTCGTAAAGTTACGCATTGTTATTAGGGCAGATTTCAAAAGGCGATTTCAAAAATCTTTTGACATTCCAATGTTTTACACAGTTTTGCCGGTTTTCGATACCAATGAGATTGATTTTTTTTAATCTACTTCTTAACACTATTTTATGATGTTAAATTCTGCTATAACAAATTTCTAATATACAGGGTGTTAGTGAATAAGTGCGACACATCGGGGGTAATTCTGCGTGAAAAATAATTTAACGATGTATTTTTGAGCTCAAACCAGTCGAGATAGAGAAATGAAGTTTGGTGGGTTTTAAGAAGTCGCCATTGCGCATTTCTTGACATGCAAATAAGAATTTTATGTTCATCATTGGCGCACATATGGGTAATGATCTCAATTGATTACAGGCCACTCCACCAATTGACGCTGCCCATACTGTTGCAATTGCCGCTGTTGAAGCTTCCACAAAGAGCTTGGCGGCCGCAATCATCGTAATTACCACTTCTGGACGATCTGCACATCTCATTTCCAAGTACAAGCCAAGGTAAGTTTCGAAAATTGAAAACCTCATTCATTTTAATCTGCCTCAAATTTCTCTAGATGTCCCATCATTGCTGTAACCAGGTGCGCCAGAACTGCTAGACAGGCCCATCTTTACAGGGCTGTATTGCCTGTTTTATACGAACGTAAGTCGTTTGCAATATTTCGATTTCAATTCAGGATAAACGTTTTTTTTCTTCTGTAGAAGACAGACTTGGAGACTGGCTTCAAGATGTAGATGCCCGAGTTAATTGTGGAATTACTTTCGGAAAGTCAAAGGGCTTTATCAAGTCTAGTGACCCAGTTATCGTGATTACTGGCTGGAAGCAGGGCTCCGGATTTACCAACACTATGCGTGTCGTGTATGTATCTGAAGAGCTTGGCACAATCTGTGCAGCCTAATTGATCATGTGTATGTTTTTGCATGCTGGTTGTAGTTAGTGAATTGTGCAACTAATAAAAAAGCTGCTTTTACTGACTATTGACTACACGGCTGGAGAATTTTATTAAAAACGGTCGCTCTTTCAATTTCAAGCTAAGTTTGAAAATCATTCTAGTATGCTGTGGTGTATATAAACATGAAAATATGATTTTCCTAATTTATACAAAATAAACTGCTGAACAAAATGAACGTTACATGGCCAAATATTCCATAACTTTGGAGATCTCAATAACTTCTGATTGCTTCGAGCGAACGAGTTTCTGTTTGAAGCGTTATTTAGCCCCCATATGATGTCTGTTAGTCAATGTTTTGATCAAAATTAAACATCTCCGACAAATTTTGTACAGAGTGGCAACTGGAAAAATGCAAAACTCGGAAAGTTCGCATGCTCCTAGTTGGCAAAGAAAAAGTTTTTTGGGTTCCAACACCAAAAGTTTAAAGAAAAATCAAATAGCTCGAAACGGTTCTTTAATTTTTCGGCCATCTCTTTTATTTACAGGGTCTTCTCAAAAATCAACTTTTTGGCTTTGGCCCGATTTTCACGATCTAGCGCTCGTATTGAAGCTAAAGCTTCATAGACAATTTAAGACAAAAATTCGATAAACAGGGTTACATGACAAATGACCCAAATCAGAGACTTTCAACTGAACAACTGAAGTGAAGTTCACTTTCAAATATTTCGTTCATTCATACAACTCGGAATATCGATATTTTTTTTCTCAAGTCCACTGATAAGCCCTAAATTTTTACAAATCACTACAATACCAAAAAGTTGATTTTTTTGCGACCGCTCTGTAAATAAACGAGTTTCTTCGAGATTTCGAGGTCTATCTTAAGCCTGTGGGGTTGAAATACAAAAAAACACTTTTTCACTAGAGTAATCAGCAAGAGTTAAGTGCACTAGCAGTGATCAGCAATATGGTTGTTTCAATTAAATTTTCAATAATTAACGAATTATGCGTTATTTCATTTGTAAATTTCATGTTTTATTTATTATTCTGCCTATTTTGTATCACAGAGTTTGGGTACTTTATTTGCTTACTGTCTCTAATACATCTACTAGATTTGCAGTTTGTAGACTTAAACCCGGTTATGTTGCTTTTGTGTTAGAATTGCATTGTATAACACTAACTCAGGTAATGTTTAATTGAAAAACATTACTATCTATAATATTCACTAATACCAATTTTTTTTTTAGCAACGTCGAGTAAGGCAAATTCCAGAGGACTCATCTTTGTAGTGAGAAATTCATAAATTATTAAAAATTAAGATTTACACTTTCATTGCAGTGTTTTGGTTTTCACACCATTACAAAAGCGTCTATATTATGAGTGTGATTATCTTAATAACTATTTAAATGGAACACAAATTGAAAATTATACAATATCATTAGCTAGAATGTTCATAATAAACAATGTATGCAAAATCGCGTGTTTTTTTCGTTTTAAAACTTAATTAGCAAAGGTGAGGTAAAGGCGTTGGTAAAAATCGTACTCTTAATATATTTACAAATGCAAAACAATCCAAATTTGATCTCCAAATAAAAATACAAATAAATAAAATCTTCCTACATAAGAATGTACATTCAACATTTTAATTTCTTACCGGCGCTATATGGAAAATATGTATGTACATGAACTAATAAATCAGTAGAAATACATGTTCAGTGAGCTATACCTCTGTATAGAAATCAGACAATTCTTAAAATAATAAAAATACCTGAACAGTTTCTTATAATTATCTCAATTATATGTATAAACTCTATTGGCGCTTGCCTATAAGTCTCGTATAGATCTGAATATTTCCGCCAATTAGCACAAATCACGGCTGAAAACGGAGCGACGCCTCTAGAGGCTAACCAATAAACAAATGATCTTTAAAGTATTTTAAAACTTATAGTTATATCTAGAAACGTAAAAACATGCTTAACACAAACACTCAATCTTATAAGGCATTTTAGTTATGAGTTTGAGTCGAATTTTTAGGAAAACTCTTGCTGGAGCTTTGTTTTCTGGCCAAAAATTGTTTAGATCTATACAATCTATACACTTAAGTGTATCTTCTATTTGATAAATTGTAATTTTCGCACTTAGAATCAATGCAATTAAACAAAAATCCATTTTTTAATTAAAATAAATGAGGTTTTTATTAAATATTTAGTAGTTGAGGTAACCGTATTAACTCTTAAGTAAAAGTACCTTCTCAAATACAGTTTATCCCCTTTAAATAACTGAATTTGTCTTATCTCCTGTAGCTTAAATACAATATTAAGATTTGCCTGTAAAAAATTAAAAAAATGATTTCTTTAAAAAAACTCAGTGATAATGCAGTAAAACCTTTAATGGAAATCTCTTACTTAAAGGACATATTTTTTAAGTAAAGGATATTTCCATAGACGAACTTTTAAATACGTTTAGAGTTAATAAATGTTGTAATCAATGAAAAACATTTAACATGACTAGGCTCTTTTGATGTAAGATCTGATTGTAATAGAAATGTGTTTTTTGCCTGAAAACCATGGGACATTAAAACCGATAAAAAAATCTTTTAGCTCTGTAAAAGTAGGTGCACAGCGGGGGACGAGCTGTGCGATGCGACAACCCGATAATCGCGAAAAACATTCATAAAGTTTTAGATTACTCTGCGCATACTGTCAGCTAGGCTGAGGGAGGCGATATGATTATGGCCGTTGAAAAACACAAATTTTACAAAAAAAAGCCAAGAATCCCACAATCTGGCTCATAATATCAGTAGCAAGAGAAAATGCGGTTCTTTATGTGAGGAAAACTAACTTTAATAGGAAATTTCTGGGAGATTCCAGGATTTTTCCAGTTACGAAAAGCTAGATTAATCTCATGTGACCATATTTTTCTTTAGACTTTTTCAACTTTTTCACTCTTTCAATTACCGGTGTCTCCGATAACAGCACGAGCGTTAGAAAATCCTTGGAAAATACGGCCTGCCCAAGTCAAGCTTTAACTCACAACTGAGAGCATTAAAAAATCGCGCTATATATGCAAACTCGTCGGACTCGGTCGCCGCTGTGCACGTACCCTAAGTAGGGAATTATTTTGGCAGACAGATTAAATAATATCTGGCAAGTTGGTCCCTTAGAAACCCACTGTTCAGAGGTTTTACTGTTAACACTGTACACAACCGAACTCTTGGAAAACCATGTGCGAACATATTTAGTAAAAGGCACTAATTGAAGTATTTACCTCAAACCGACTTTTAAGACTCCAGTCTTATCATCAAAGTAAAAGTATTCACAAAATAATATAATTTTGGACGTAAAGGGCTCTTTAGCAAACCAAAATCAAGTAGCACTCACCGAGTACAACGGAAATAAAGTTCAATGTTGACGCGCATCAATGCACTTTTTGTTGCTTTACTCACCTACGTGAAAAATATCAGATTTATACAGACGTTGCATTCGTCACTCGTTATTATAAGTACGGAACCACTAAGTCAATGGGTTCACTGTCTTTATGATCTTTATTTTCCTCGGATTCCGATTGATCACAGGTTTCAAGGTATTTGATAACTTTTTGAGTCGCTTTCACTGCACATACACTTGAAGCTTCAGTCTACAATAAAACGTTAAAAGTATACACAATGCTCAAGGCCTTGTAAGAATGTATTTACCGAAGCAGTAAGATTCATAAAGTTGTAGAACTTTTTCAGCAGTTCTACCATGTCGGTAAAATTGTTTTCTCGCAAAAACTGCCGAATGTTATCCTGATATACCTCGTTTTCCATAATCAAAAACCCAACGAGCATCACGATGTATGAAGCCAAAAATGTATATTCCATGTGTGTGCCTGCTTTTTGTAGCACTGTAAGACAATCAGAAATCAGGCAAATTACAGTATAAATCAACCACCAAAACTTACATTTCGCTACGGTCTCTTCAATAAATTCTTCATTTGACTTGTTTTGCGGCTGGGCTTCTGTTCCTGGGTCTTGCTCATCTTTTTCACCATCTAAAATTGCGTTAGTCTTATTTTCGGCTATTTTCGCACAACCTTCCCATTCGTAAAACTGTACAATTAAAGCTTCCACTGCACTTTCTTCTCCTACAAATTGGAAAATGAATAAAACGAAAATCGCTAAAACCCTCTTAATCAATCTTACTTGAATATATGCTTTCTAGTTTGGATGGTGCTTTTGCATCTATCAACAGCTTTTTATTTGCCTCTTGGTCTTGAATGAGATTAATTAGTAACATCAGTACCTAAAGTTGGACAAAAAATTAATACTTGTTGATAATGTATAAAGTATTTTACGGCATACCAACACTCCTAGTTCGAATTTCTTTTGTTCTGGAATGTAATTGGGCACCTGGAGCAGTAAATGTAGGCTAGTCTCGATAATACCAGGTCGGGATCCTATTAATTGACTTCCTATAGCTATAATAAATGGAAGTGAAAGCGAGAAAAGTTTGGTAAATTTTCGATATTGGCTTACATTGTTGTCTATAATGATGAGTCAGATTTATAAGCACTTTGAGGGTAACCAATAGAGCCTCCCGAATTATTGTGCCTTTAGACGATTTATCCGCAATGTCGGTAACTGGATACAGAGGTATTTCCACATCGCATAACTTGTATAAATTTACCAGAGTATCAATCATCATACCATCGTTGTATTTCAAAATATACGTTTGGTTTTCTTCATTATTTTGAGTAACCTGGAGGACGAAAATAACCGGTTTCAATCATAAATGATGGACTTGCGAGTTGCTGCCTTAAATTAAGTTTTCCACATTGTTGGATCAGAAACAGAATTTTGTTAAACACATTTACATTAAAATTTAAAAATATTTAGTACTAGAAATTGTGACGAAAATCGGAATAAATTCGAGAGCCTATCCAGAACACATTTAACCAGCCGTTCAGAGCTAACTATTTTATGAACGGTCATTCAATATAACGATTTTACTTCGCATCAAATTACTTACATTTTCGAGTACTCGAAGACATCGGTCCACTTTCTTTAACTTGTCCAACAAAGGATCTGTCCAACTAACAACATAGTCAGACACTTGCCGGCAACATTCGCAAATAGTTTTCATGATGTGCTCCAAACCTCCCAACTCTCGTAATTCCTCTTTGAACCATTCTCCCGCCCGCTTGGAAGTTAACGACAGCAAGGTTTCCATAGCCAATTGGCCCGTTGTAATATTCTCCAAATTTAAATGCATCGCGTGACCTTGGCTCTGAATTTCACCGCAAAGTTCTCGAACTTTTTGTTTGTTTTTCTCTAACTGGGCAGAGGTGAGGCCGCAAACATCTAGGGCCTAAAAACATCAGTAAGTCGCAATCCTCAAAGGTTGATCTACTGGAAATGTACCTGTTGGTAGCTAACGTCCGACTCTAACAAATTCAACATGAGTTCAAGGCAATCTCTGTCTAAGTCCATGTTTAACCGATCTTGGCTTAGTACGAACATAACTGTGGCTGTACAAAGGCCTAAACTTTGATCTTTGGTAGCGTCATGAAGGGCTTTGAAAAATTTTGCGACAGTTCCATGCGCTCTAACATGCATGCGAAATGCCGGGACCATACATTTGGAAGCCAAAGTAATGGCTGACAAACACCTAAAAGGTCAAGAACTAAGAAAAAAGAGAAGAAAACTGCTGTACTTTCATATTTAGTAATATAAAGTAATTTTTTATCTAGGTTTCTATACCCTCCACAAACGTCCACTCTTACCTGGTACTAACAGGGTTGTTATCTTGTAAGGCATCCAGTATATACTCAACGTCATCATTGAATTCCTGGAATTCACCAATTTCCTGTATCTGGTGAGCTTTTTTCACATTGCGGACAACCATGTAAAACTAGAAAATCACATTAAGTTGATGAATACGTAAATAAGGATAATTGTTAGGCGCTTGCAGCTTAAGCATACTCAGTCATGGTAATAGTTTTACTGATCGCATTTGTTCCTCCTTGTAGGTACATAAGTCTTTCGTGAAAACCATCGACAGAAGCAAAGAAAAATAGAAACAAAATTTCCTGTAGAGATACAGTGTATTGAAGTTTAAAAAATATGTATTACGCATGGATTAAATTTATTGCTCTGAAATCCCCACTTTCTTTCGACAATTTTATTTTAACTTCTTCAAAGCCTTCCTGACTACTGCAAAACGGTGTTAACAATTTTTATTTTTATAAGTTCATTGTGTCCTTTCGCCAGGTCGCATGACTCCACACAAAAAAGTCTAAAGCTTGAATACCTGAAGGCCGACCGACAAATATTGATTATGTTCAAAATTGACGGAAAAACAAACTTAAAAAGAATAAAAGATTTAGGAAATATGTCTATACGGATTTTCTTTTATGAATAACACACACACACTCAAAAGAAACCTGCTCCCTCTCGTAGCTTCAGGTGAAATTTTTTCGAAGCACCAAATACTGCATGATAAAAAACACTTTAATTTCACTTACTCCTTTATCAGCCGTTGTGCATTTAACACTTGTGACATCTTGAGATTCATCAGTCAGGGTTACTCGGGTAAGAGGATCGCCTAAAATGAGAGTGACCGATTTAATAATAAAGAATAAAGAGCAAATGATAAAACTCAAGTACCTTTAAATTCGAAATTACTATCTAATTCAACGTTTTCCGTTGGAGGTCTGGCAGGAGTTTCTCCACCATCCTTATCCGTCCATTTGTGAACATATCGTGCTGTTCGTTTCTTGGTACCATCGTCAACCTACATTAACAATTAACATATTCAACGTGGTTGAAAATTTCGAGGAGTTAGTCCTCTGAAAGCAGCGTTGAGAGCTTTGTAAGTTTGTGTTATATTTAGCAAAAATTGGTTGGGTGGATTTTTTAACAAACTCCAGTAAATATACCCTTTTTTGAATCTTCCTGTATAAATAATACATCAGTACTGTATTCGTTAGAATAGATTAATATTTCCAAAAGAAATAAATATTGCTACCTACAAATGGAAAAATCTAAATCTTAAAAAAATCACTTACCAATGCTCTACTCTTGAAAATACTTCCTTTCTTCTTTGAAATTACCAGCTTAACCGGGGGAGGATCGGGTGGATTTTCTGAATTTTTTTCCGGAATCACGTCTTTGCTCTTTTCTACTTCATTAGCAGGCTGATCTGTACTTGGAATTATCGTTTGCTTTACCTAGCGTGACAATCCAAAGTTGTGAATTAATAAAAATTGCCTTTTGGTCAACTTAAAACCGTACCTCCGATTCCGGCACGGTACTATTTGAGTCGCTGTCTGTGCCCCATTCATCTTCGATGCTCTTTTTGTTCGATTTATTGCTTATGGGATCAGCTAATGGAATTTCTTTGATTTTCACTATTGGAAAGTTCTTCTCTTTTACATTCTTATCTTTTGCCTAAGGAACATAAATTAAAACCCAATGTAAAGTGGATAATTTAAGTTACCTTTGCTTTCTTCTCTGGATCAATAAATTCTTTAACTTCCTCTACCAGCTCTTGAATGTTGTTTGTTGTTTTGCTTCTGTTTCTTAAGCCCCCTCTTAATGAAGGCTTAACAGTTTTATCTTCCACTATTTCTTCTTGAAATTCCATAACGTCTTTTGGCTTGCTACGCTTTCTCAGCCCTCTAGCAGGCACAGCTGGTTTTGATGCTTTGGTATTCTCTATTTCTTTAGCTATATTTTCGATAGTTTCGACTATTTCCTCCGTATGTTGTTGAGAAGATTCTGCATCCAATTTTGCCAGTCTTGATTCCAGAGACTCTTCTTCTTGTGATTCCGTGACGTCGGCTTTATCTTGAGAAACACTTTCCGAAATAATCAGTTCTAATTCCATGTCTCCCTCCGCTTCTGCTGAGTAAGGTTCCTGCAAGTTTATAAACAATCCATAGCTAGTTTTAGTTTATGACGCTTTTTAAACCAGCTTTTCTTACCGAATTTGTATCGCCAATTTTGGCTTCTTCTGGTTTTACAGGCTCCTCAACGCCCCCATGTAATACTGCCATAACATCTTCAATGCTTTTGTCCGCTACAAGTTGATCATCTATGAGTTGTGGTTCGGAAGGTGCGATATTTTCATCTTGTTTTTGTGGAACATCACTTAATGGCAATTCTTCAGTTGGCGGTTGATCCGGAGCGTGTTCAGAATTATCGATTAACTTTGGAGAATCCGGTTTTAGTAAGCTGGCGTATAAGGCTCTACGCTCTTCTTCAAATTTCTCAGCGGGCACATATTGTGGCGACATTTCACTCTTTGGAGACTCTACAGGATAAGAGAACCAAATTAATATCGATACATCAATAGGGCTTAAAAATTTAACACCTTTTCTAGATCCAATAAACATGGTAAACTCTGACGCCGTGTCGGAACTCACAGGACTGCTACTAGGATCCATCTGCATACTCCTTCGTGCACTGCGAGTAATGCGGCAATTGGAAGGTCTTGGAGACGTTTGTGAATTGGACGTTTCTCGCAAAGCACGTGGGGAGGTAGATGCAGATTTAGGAGTGGTACTAACCAAGCAAACGAACGTTAATTACACAATATCACAATGGTACCACTGATATATTACTTTGGTGTAGTTGCTTTATCTGAGTCATCAGTATCGCTCACTAACTGCGACTTGCCTCTACATATTCTTAAAACTATAGGTGGCTTTGAGGTTTCACTGATATCACTTTTATCCGAGCTTCTTCTTCTCTTTATAGGTCGTTTAGATGGTAGAACTTTCTCCTGTGCGTTTTTCGATGCATAAAACTTCTTCGGCGATGAACTACTTTTAGTTTGTCTGGCATAATTAAAATAGCTATTAACTGCTCCACGATGTACAAATATAAATCTTCGTGCATTGGAAACAAAAAGTTTAATTAATTTTACCTGTCTGAATATTCACGAGAGCTGCTCCGCGCTTTCTTCGTAGGCGGCTCATAGCTAGCTGAGGATGAATAACTTGGAGTGGTGTTACTTGAGTCCTCATTAGCATCACGACTTTTAAAGAACTTTTTTGGTTTGGGAGCAGGTGCAGTACTATTAAAAAGGGAGTCGGAATAACACTCTGGCTACAGTTTTATTCATATTTTTACATTTAAGGCTATGATATGCAAAGTGGCCTAAGCCCAAAATTCAACAAATGAGAAAAACGCTTTTAAAGTTTTGGACAAGTTGATAGTGTAATAACATTCCTAACGTAACAATTATATTGGAATGTTTTTGCAAAACAAGATACAATTTTGAATTCTTTTAATGAGTGATATTTAAAATATGAAAAATCTTATTTTTTTGCAAAAACGCGGATTAGGCCATTTTGTTTTTTTCATATAAGAGGAAATATATGGTTTAGGCTACTTAGACACACTGGCATTAAGTATAAAATTATTGATTATAGAGACTTTAGGAATGGCTTGTAGGATAATACGCGTTTGAAAAGTTGGCCACCCTGATTGCAGCACTCTGCACCGCTACCAATAGTGTATGAGTAATGCAATATTTTTTCTTGTTCCTCTGAAAATGTATCTGAGTGCCACGACAAAGAGATAAAAAACAAAGCGTATTATTAATTAATTGCAAAACTTAAATTAATAAAGATGCAAGCAAATGTATGGTGATTTGAAAAGTTTACTCTACGTGGAGGTGCTTTAAGGAGTTAAAAAAGTAAAAGCCTCTGATAGCGATCAGTATAAAGACGTGGATTGTACAAGCCGAAATGCTTAGAGGAAGTTTAACAAACATTAAGAGTGTTTGCTTGTTTGTTTGTTTGATTCTAGAATCCATGTCTATAACAGCCCTTGAAACTCGCTGGCCAAGCCTTAAACGCACGTCCAACAAACTGCTACCTGCGTTTATCATCACGCAGAAATTCACCACTCTTGGCATGATATAATACAGTAAAACTCTTTAACCCGAACTTCCAGTAATCCAAATGTCCGGAAGCTGCCGCTATAGTCCGAACAACAATTCGTATATCCAAAGAGCGCTTGTCCAGCAGATCCCACACTTCCAAAATGTGTTATCCAATGTCAGTAGAAATTTTAGAGAAAAACTTTATAGTATTTATATTTAAGCCTATTTTTTATAATAAAACTTACAATGACAGAAATTTTAAAGCGAGTGCTGGATGACTTGATTAAGCTAAAAACCGATATGGGTGGGATTCTCCGTTGACGAGGAAGCCGTAGAGCCATTCAAAAGTGTTTTGAAACAAAGTTCGAGAAATGCAATTGTTGCAAAATACATTTGCTGATCAATTTGAGGCATCAGCTCCAAGCAGAAAAATGACATGAAATGAAGAAGATAATTACATTTATGCCTTGTTCAAACCCCTCTGGATGAAATTGTTAGTGTTAGGCAGATCTGGAAACATTCTTCTTTCAGAAATTAATAGTTGCCGATGACTTACCAAGGCCAGAAGAAAGCGTGGGTCACCAGATATTTAAAAAACATGGTTCTACACAGTCAGTCAAATGTTTCGAGATATGCACAAAATGGGTTTTGGAAAAATCTGGATCAGAACACCATATTTTAACTTTAACAGAAATGAAATGACGGGCTTTTAAGGCAGAGCAAAGAGATACTAAACCAACAAAAATCACTAATTTTTTTACATCGACTTAGATTTACACATTTGAATTACCTATCCATCAGTATGCAAACTAACCCATTTTATGTAGACAATAATTTCTTTAATGTATGCATATCTTTTACCTAAGAAATTTTCAATTCGAAAATCCAAATTTGCTTTTGCAATAATTAGGTAGTTCGGATTGCAGAGGGTATAGTGTACTTTAAATGAGGAGAGGTAAGATTTCTTATGGAGCCTTCACTAGGGAAAAAAGGTCTTCCTAAAGGAAAGCTTCTCATTCATTAACGACGTGAATTTTTTCGCAGAACTGATCCTCACTTTACGACATCATATTTAGCTGTTTACAATAATTAATAAATTTCATGTCACGGCTGTTATTAAAGGAAAGTTGATAGAACAGTGAGTTCAAGTTCTTCTTCAAACTATTACCTGATGCGGAGTTGCTTCAAAAGTATAAAATGGAAAATGTGGGCAAAACCATCAACTTATTTTCCAAGCTTAGTGTTACTTAGTGTTAATTTAAAAACCAACCACAAATATGCTGTAGCTCCAACATTGTTGGCAAAAAATATTTGCCTAGATCCATGACCTATTATTTTTTGAAGAGCACAGATTCTGTTTTTTTGAGAAAAAATATTTGCATAAGAATAAGCGAGTTTCGTAATGTTTGGCAATAATAATAGCTTGCCAAATGACCATTGAGCTACTTTGAAATATTGTAAAAAGCAAAGTTGAAAGTGTGGGCTCAAGCTCAAGCTAATATATTCAAGCTATTAACTAAAATTCCTTGTGACACATTCTTCTGGACTTTAGTTCAGTTCGTTAGGGTTTAAATTATTCCAGGACTTAATTGTGGAGCTTTGCAAAGTAGTCCAAAGTCTCTACTACCTACTCAATCTTGCATATGTTAAATTGTAACAATTAAATGTAATCAATTACCTTTGTTCATTCTCCTGTCTTCCATTCAAGTTTCTAATGCTGGTAAAGCTCGTGATGCCCCATTTACCAACAGAGGCTGCAGAACGAGCAGCCGAAGGCCTATTACTGTTCTCCTTAAAGAGCTTATCGAAGTGGAAACTATGGTGACTTGCACCCCTTCTGTATTTACCAAAACCGCGGGACATATTTTGCTAAGGCTTTCCCTAGGTCACTTGGGATATATTAATAAACAATGAGGGTCCCCCTGAAACATGGTTGGCCTCCAAAAGAGAACTAAACCAGGCGCAAAAAACGACTGCAAAAACACATTTTGTCTGGAAACGAAAAGCACAGTCTGGCATTTAAAAACACAAGCATTGATTATCACATCGCCATTTTCTTTATGAAAACAGACGGCAAAATGATATTGAATAAGGGACCGCTGGATAGGGCTCGTTTTACACCAGAAAATACACCGAATCGCAGTAACTGTTACAGAAGAATAGTTGAAAAAATTATTTGTTGGGGTTTTCACAAAAATTTTGCTTTTCGCCTGTCAAATTGTGGCATATGCACGCTAAATGACGACTATGCTTGGTAAATATTGCTACGACCTACGGCCAACTTCAAATCGGTGCATCAGTCTGTCAAACATTTAAAGTTCCGTTATTTTGGTTGCCTAACAGCGAATTTCAGTTCAAATTTGAAATATCTAAAAATACTTGAAAGGTGTAAGTATTTTAACTAAAAACGAATGCATGCGTAGAAAGAATTGCTTAATAGAAACTGTTAAAATTAGGATAACCTGAAAATTTGAAGGAGGTTTAAAAATCTTCAAAGCGATGAAAAATCTTCATCCAAATGCCTTTTTGTAAACTTTTGCTCTCTGATCGTTTTTTCCAGATAATCTCAATTACTTACGGCAAAAAACTGAATAAAATTATTTGGTATTTGTGCCAAATTCGAAGATGAAATGGGGTTTCTAAAGTTCCCTACAAACCGATGAATGAGGCATCTCATTCTCTAGCAAAATTAGTTTTATCATTTTTGGATGAAAACATCCCATTATTGCCAAAAAAGAAGAAAATGATCAGAAAATAATGCCTTTTTGCGTTTTCGATTAAAAACTTTTAGTTTTGTGATCGGTTTTGGAGAAATACGGGAAAAAATTATTTTCGATTTTCTGGCGAATTCGACACTGAAAAAAGTCTAACAAAATTAGTTTTGTCATTTTTGATTGAAAAGGCCCCATTATTGTCAGAAAAGTAGGAAATCATCAGAAAATAATTGTTTTTTGTTATTCCGATTAAAAACTTTTAGTTTTGTACGGTTGTTTGATCGGTTTTGACGAAAACCTTAATACTATTCAGGGATAAACGGGAGGAACTTATATCCTTTTTTGTCTTGGATTCGACGCTGGAAAAAGTTTTTGTAAAATGTTTACAAAGCTATAAACAGTATAAATTTATCTTGTAATTTTTCGCGTAAAAGACCTCCAGATTGTCAGTATTTTTATATGAAACTCTACAAAATAGACAGTTTTAAAGTAGAAAGTAAAGCAAACAAAAATCAGACAAAACTAAAAAACCACATTTTTTTAACAAACTCTACAATCTTCAGAGGGATGGAGGTAACGAGATTTACAAATAATCTGGTATAAACTTTCGCTTATTCTGTTCGTTTTTTGATAGAAAATTATTGGCCTATGATAGAAACTTTAGAAAATTGAGCATTTAGAAGAAAGAGTAACTTGGAAAACTGACAAATTCTGAAATTTTGAAGAAATTTTAAAAATATTAGTAATAAATGGCCCTTAAATAAATCTAAATACAAGTAAAAAAGTAATAAAAATAATCAGCGAAACTGAGTTACTGCGCCGGTGCGTTGGGTTGGCGCTCCAAGCCATTTACGTGGCACTGTGTCAACTCCTAAAAATTCACTGAGTTACCCAGGTCTAGATAAGATGCTATCGCTTGGTTATAGGGCATTATCGTTAAATGTTTATAAAAAAATGAAAAGTTTTTCGATAGGAAATTTTTAAATTTTACTGCTTCGGTTTGGTTGCCTAATTTGGGAATACCTTGTGTAAATAACATTATCTCTGTAAAAAAAAGTTGATCATTTATTTACTCACCCAGGAATGTTTAATCCTCGTAGTCAAAAGGAACAAAGCAGAATTAAAGAAGGTATTAAAACGTATTTAAGTATTAAAAGGTTGCGAGACGCCTACAGCAAAAACTGATAGTAAGCGCGCGATTCAATAAAATGTATTAAATGACGCATATTTTGCACTTAAAAACTTATTACGTTGTTGTATGGGGATTTCTCGAACTTTAAGTTAAATAAACTGGGGGTTTGTCCGATTCTCAAAACGAGGAGCTACAAGGAATTAATGCTATATCCTGGTCCGCAGGGGTTATCTGTACAAGAAAATTATATATGGATTAATTCAAAATGTTCAATCAATAACAATTCTTTATCAAATAGTATTTTGGGTTATTCAAACTTAAACATTTTGCAATACCTAAACATGAAATGCCTGTTCGCCCGACAGAGACTGAGTTAATACCATTCACGAATTGTGAGATTCATTTACATTTTTGTTTTTTGCCGATGTCTAAGTTATACTCAGATATTCAGAAAAAAACTTTCTGAACTGCTGAGAACTTCTATTTTATTCCCTGTTCAGACGAAAAATATAATGTATTTAATATTTATCGTACATTTTTTGAACTGGCGGTATTACCAAAACTACAAAATAACTCATTAATTTTCAATATAAAATTTCGTTTTATTGGAGTTAACAGTCTACAATCATTTCATTACCCATTGCAATTTTACATTTCTCGATGTAGAATATATGATTTCAATTTTTACTTAACATTAAGTCTACACACACACACACACTTAACAATGATCTACACAAAATAGGTAGTGTATATGTGCGACTGTGAATCAGTCAAGTACTTCTTGCATATTTGGTGCTGACTTTTTTATTTCATCATAATCCAATTTTTAAATTTCTGTGTTCTTCTGGGTTGATTTCGTTTGCCATTGTAAAAAATTGCATGTCCACCCGCTAAAATAGCTCCCCATTCTCCAAAAGTTCCATAATCGAAAATTGTGTGATTGCAAGCTGCCATTAGAGCAAGATCGTCCGCTGCACTGCTATTTGTTTTATAAGATGGAACAAACACGTCCTTCAGATTACCAAACTGGTTGAAACACCAGGTAGGATCATCACTGACATATATGAAAATGCAATTGGAAAATTTCTTTTTGAAATAGTTCATTGCGTTTTGGAAATACTGCGAAGTTGCTGGTTTTGAGTGGTACGAGCTGAAAAAATAACATTTATTGTATACATTTAGCGGTTGTTACGCGGTTCTTACGTTTTCAGATAATTTACGTAGTCTGTTCGTCTAACGTGGACTCCGATAAAAGTATAATGTTTAGGCGGCAATTTGGATTTCAATTCCCGCAAAGTGCTCTGAGCATAATCTACAAACTCTCTTTTAAACCTAAATTCCTTTACAATTTCCTTTAAATAAGGCCTGGATTCATCTATGTAAAACTTGGCACGTGGAATGATAATGTTCTGAAAATGTAAACTGTTTAATGTTATGAATGGGAATCTATGAGAGCAGAATTGCCGCAGAAAAATTTGTGAATTTTTCCGTGGCAATAAAGCATATTTTGATTTGATTTGATTTGAGAACTGCGTGAAAATAGCTTACAATTACAAAATATACTATGATGACATACAAATAATTTAATTTCCCGATTTCTATATTTGGGGCTTCGTTAAAACCCCAATTTAAAAATACTTTTCAGAAGAAGGCAACAATTAGTTTGATCCTACAAGTGCTCACTTTATTTCCACCTTACTTGTTTAGTTTTCGACAATTTGGCTGAAGAATCCACCGCTGAATTAGGGTTAAACGGACAATCAGCTATTGCTTCCAGTGATGGAAATGGCATTTTTTCAAATACTTCCTCAAGCTTTAACTTCAGACATAGAGGAAGATATGGCTGCAATCCGGTATTTTTAGCTATCGACCATATTGACGAATATTCCCACATTTGGTTACCTAAACATTAAGTCATATAAAGTTGAACTATTTTTAATTGAGGCATATAAGAACTTGATCGAATCAAACAGCGCAGTTTATATTTTTCGTAGATTTTCATACTTATTGCTTGAATTGATTGAATCGAGATGCTTATGGTGAATATTTAAGACTTTCAAATGCACTACCTTGAACAATTTCCTCCTCTTAGGATGTAAAGTAAAATATTGGCAAAAGGCTAATCCGACAGTTTACATTTGAAAATTACGCATTTACATATTCCGTCGCGTATTATGGTGCAACAGCTAAGAGAAGCATTTCCAAATCATGACATCAATGTGGATGTGGCATGTGAACAAAAAAAATCGAATAAAACGACTGATTCGATAGTTAGCATTTAATTTGTTTTGTAATAATGTACTCTTTCGCAGTAGATTTTTATTAGATAAGTGCCATGTGGACTTTAATCGATTATTATTGGGCTGAAAATGGAGGATGGGGCGCCAGCTTGTAGAAAGCTGGTCAGAATGATTTCTAAACTATACCCAGATAGCATAAAATATTACATACATATTTACGAAATATTTATATGTTTGCTAAATATTTCAGATCAAAAGCAAATATATCTTCAATATTATTTTTAAAATATTTATTTCTAATATTTAATTAGCATGAAACAAATAAGTTATTAATAATTTTCTTATTACATAATACTTTTTGTACCTATATATAACAACCTTAACACCCAAA